GCTATGATCATAATACTTAGGTGATTTCTTTACGTAACAATTTCAGTTGACCGCTTCGATATAATAACGCCCCAAGGAATAGGAAAGGGCATAAAGAAAGAAAAGATCCTATTTGGTTTGGTGTTTATCGCATGCGCGTGTATCAACCCGGGAATCGAATTTACAACTCTAGCTTGAAAGGAATCATTTACAAATATGACAGAAATACTGTAATTAACATTCTAAAGAAACAAGGAGTTCCAGCCCCTTGAGTAATTATCCATTTGTTGTATCACTCGTCTGATATTTTAAGAACCACAGAAAGTATGATAATTTTAATATGCGAGTTTCATTGTACACTTCGACTTAAAATTCATTTCTTGTGGCAGAAGTATTCTACTGAAATAAACAAGACAGAATGAAGCTGACGCCATTCGTTTCGAATAACACATGAACATGATTAAAACGGCACCAGTTTAAACTCATGAGGCAAAGCCCACGCTTTTTTTTTTGGGTAAATGAACTGGTTAGACCGAAAGCTAAACAAATAAACAACGAACTAACAGCTGTGAGGGATTTGGGGGCCATGTGATAAATAGGTTCTACCGAAGTTTATCCTCTAGTCAGCACTTCAAGCTCAGAAAGGCAATTAAAAAAATTCTCACCAAAACACAGCAACAAAGTAAGATAAAACCAGAGATGATTGAGGCACGACTACAACCGTTGTTTAGACACATGCCTACATACCATGTACAACAGACTTGGAGAGCAAAAAGGCCAAAGACAGTTGTGAGCCATGACTTGTAAAATCCATCTCAACCTCCAAAATCCTATCATCAGTCTCAACTAAGAGAATTTGCCAAAGATCGTAGTAAGAGAGACTCAATCCTGAAGCTAGAACATTTTTTAAAGACTTGTGTTCTATGTGACTACAAAGAGAAAGAAATGACGATGTTATTTGATGTGATTGGAAGCTTGGGGGCCACCTCGAACTTAACGCAATTCTATTTCAAAGTTGAAGTAAAAGAAGATCAAATCCTAAGTTACCTTCTATTATCGCAACGAATATCTCACGATCGTCTCCACATACAACTTCGTGATTCACAGAAGTAAGACATCAACATCTTAAGACTACCCTTCAAGGTTTGTTGTCTCATGTGCACATCTTGATCGTCAGTAAATCTAATCTCAAACTTCAAGTTTTCGGCCTTTTTTCGCGTTTAGTTCGCACTTTGATCATTAAAAAATCCTCATCCGAAGAGCCAGCAAACTCCACGAGTATCCACAGAGTTAGAAATGGTGGTAATATTGTCCTACTCTTCCATCCCTCTCCAAAAAATATTGCAAAAAGGAGTCGATCGCCCAGTTGAAAACCCGGGGAAGAGCGCTCAAAATATCAACGATGCCGAACACGCCGAACAAATTTTATAGGCGCATGCGCAGACGAAATGCCCCTCTGCTGATGTAAACGAGGTGTCACTATTGAATATTTAATTTTATCACATAAACTGCGATGTTATACAGGGATTTCTGGTAGTGAGAAAAGCCATAACAAGACACGTGAAAAAACATCGTATTTTCCCACATGTGTTGATATAGCCAATCAGCTGACACGTCACTCGCCTTTGGCGCCACTCGGTGTTATTGGGTTTCATCGAGCCAGCCTGAAGTCCCTACGTGTTTGTAAGTTTACTTTGTTAGCATTTTCTATTTTCGTCGCTTCCTAGTGTTCTTGTGAGTTTTTCGTTTTATTTTCGTCTTTTGTTTGTCGTCGTCGATAAATTCGATTTCCACATCGTTTTCATAGCTTCCAGTCGCACAGAATAGTTTAAGAGATATTTCGCATGCCACCATTTTTAAAAAACTACACACAATACAAACTCGAAATTTAAGTTTTCATATCCTTTAATACAACTCACCAAATTCTTTCACTGACTCAAACTATACGTTAACAAAGTTATCTGAAATGAAACACAGGTCATAAGCCCCAATAATTCACCACAATTGCTCGCTAAAATGACTTCGTTCATCTTTACGCATATATGCTTAGTTGGCATGTTGCGGATTAACAAAGTCTCTTAGTTTCCCAACTTCGATGTTTCAATTTGTATCTGTGATAGGTGCCGCTGTGGGTCCTTAAAATCTTTATTACATAACACAGTCTTCTGGCACAAACGGAATTCAGTTGAATGCATGGCGTCCTTTACACTCGAAGGCGTATTTGCCTACGTGACGGAAACATTCACTGCCGGTGTGATTCAGTCTTATCAGGGACAAAGTGTTCTCGAAGATGCTCCGCTGATACAGGGAAGAGACCCTTTGGAGGATTTAAAAAACTTTGATAATGTCGATAATGATACAATTTTTCAGGAGTACGATCCACCGCCAGGAGACGACAGTAAAATGGGCTGGAGGAGATCTCGGCCGCCAAGATGGTGGATGTCGCTTTGGAAGGCCGTGAAATGTGTTTTCTTTATTCAAATTGTAGGAGGTTTAGCTCTCGGCTCGCTGGCTCTATTGATTTTAGTTTTGGATTTTAATTCTGTTGATCTTTGCTACGATAGGCAGTTACATGGTCACTGGAACTCGTTACCTCATAAGATTCAAGCTATTATTGTGACAGCCGCGACACTGGAAGCATATATAGTCCAGATGTGGTCATTTCTTCTGATAATCGCAATGTTTGGCTGGCCATTAGTGAAAAGACTTAATCTATTAGTTCTAAATCTACTGGGAGCATTCTTCGATACCTGTTACAGGCTGTACCTCCAAGTCTTTGGAATATACAAGAAGTCATGGATGTCTTTTCCTTTAAACGCTTTATTTCTAACTATGGTTCTGCTGAATTCTGTTCTAGTGGGAAGAGAAATTGCTAAGAGAACGGCCAGGGATCGAAGAATAGAACTTAGAAAAATCCTCAAGGTTTCTTCTATACTCGTAGCGCAATTTGCATTTATGATTCCTATCGCTTTAGTTCTTGTTTACGTAGTGATTCCATTATACAATCAGCAGAATGAGACGAACAGGGCGGTTATAGCTGGCGCACTTCCTTTGGTGACCGCTGTACCGAAGGTCATCGTCCGATTGGCGGCCCAAAGGATCGATTTTCTCCATCCCGGCGACTCCCATGTCCTACTGAGTGTTCTATATAGCGCATCTGCGATCGTTTTTCGCGTCATGCAAGCAGAACTGACGAGTCTTCAACTGTTCATTGCTCTGAGCTTTGCTCACAGTGCAGTGGACTTACTGGAAAGATTGACCATTGTTGCGCGGGATTATCTTTGGTATTTTATCTACAAAAAGTGTAAAGGTGACGCTAATGCTGAAGAAGCGTTAAGGGCGAACAGATTTCGAACGCCCAGAAGCATGCGTCTTATTGCAGACATGAGCATTCAGACGATTCTCGGAGAATCGACTGCGTTAATAGCAGCGGTTGGCTTCATCCAGCTGTATAGCTTCATGTACAACAATAATAGTCTGGCCTTCTCTGACCTGGGTTTGGTTGGGGATTTCTTCATCCGCGTGTCCATTGCACTCAGCATCGATTTCGTTTTCAATTCGTTCTCATTTTGGCTACAAATGTCATATCTTAATGTTGCTGTAGTGAAAGTGTGGAAGAAGAAATGGCGAAAACATATGCTTGTGGGTCTGATTTTGACCTCCGTGACACTCTGTTACTTTACAACTCATTTGTTCGCAGTTGTAAAAGGCAAACATGAGTCTGCCGCTAGAATGCGTCATTTTAATTGCACCGGGCCATTTTCAAGATTTTAGCTGGAACAGAGCATGGTGTTACGGGAAAATTTACTGATTTTTACATGTGTTTGATTGGAACATATTTACTCATAAAACTTTTCATATTTAACCATTTCCAATTTAATCGAGTTCATTCAAGTTCTTTCATTCTAATATGTAAAAAAATATATATAAAAAGCCATAGTAGTTGTAGAATAGTAAACTGTTATTTCTGGCGTTTGAGTGACATGGGAACAAATTAGTCAGAAATTAATATTCTGCTGGCACGCTGGAGAGGTTTGTATGGCATCATGGAAGTTTTGGATTATTTAAGGGTTTCGCTAGAAAATTAAGACATTCTAAATGATTCGGTCAGTCTTTTCTTTTTTTTTGTATTGATGTACTTTTCTTTTTCCAAATCCCTGTAAAATATCACGACATTCATTGATTTTTCTTTGTGATAAGCAGAGTAACCAGATTAGTTTACTCTTTCTTCGGGGTATTGTGCTGCTGCATTAGATGAGGAATACGTTTCCACACATTTTTTTGGCCACTTCTAAAGTGTGGTTTTTTAGTGGTTTTTCGTATCTGGCGTAGCACAAGTTCTTTTTGTAGAACCCTTAGTTTTCAGTGTACACATGTTACGATCATAATAGGATGCTTGTACTACAAGACGGCTGACTCGTCCTAAATAAACTTTTCACATTGAATAACTCGTCTTTGTGTAGTCACAATGAAGGTTTTTGCTTTGTTGCTTGCTTTCATTGTACCCCTGTATGTTGGTACTTTTGTTGACCATTACCAGTGAAAACTGGCGTTTTCACTTCCAATCGCTAGCTAACCCTGCTAACGCTAACCCTGATAGCCCGTTTTAGTATTTTCACTTTCACGCATATCAGCAGTACCTTACATTTCCCTCGCCTTTACCTTATTTAGTATTGCATGCTGTTTGAAATATAACCATTATCTTTCATCAGTTGAAGCGAAATGTAATCTTAACATTGGTTTAGTGGAAATTTATTTTGTTACGAAAAATTATTCTTGGCCCAAGTCTCGCCTATCGTTTTCTCAGCTCTACCACTTATCGCGCAAATGTGCACATAAAAACACTATCTCCATACACAAGCTACAGCATTCACCAGCGATTAAAAAAAAACCATCTTAAAATGCTTTACATTACCCTTAATCATGCAATTTAGTGACATGCAAAACAAATTATCTGTTATTTTATTCTTGCCTTTGGCACATCATAACTTCTATAATTGATTAAGAACAGAATCAATTTTGGGAGTCTTGCTTGATTTCAAGGAGTGTCGCTGAGATGTAACCTCAAATAGGATCTAACAGATATGTCAACCGAGGAATCGAGGCAAACAGTTAATTTTTCGCTTCATTACTCATGCTGAAGGTCACCTTTCCAAAGTTATTACAAAACCTTTTGGCAAACAATCGTCCCTAAAACTAGCGTAAAACATCGCACCCTCACAACAGATATCTCATATTTTCAATTATTTTTCAAGCTGGGAAACTGTTGGCTCTTGGTAGGTGAATGTTGCCGAGAAATAGGTGAATTTTGTTTTCGTTGTTAGAATTGAAATGATGGGGACTTTTAGTACCACTTGCAGCTGGTCAGCAATTCCACACGTCCTGATTCTTAACCGACTGTATAAGTGCGAGTAAGGGAAATCAATCAAAAAAATCTGATCAAATTATGCATAAGGGATTTAACTAGATGGTCTCTTCAATAGCCCTACACGCTTTTAGCCCTTTCACTTTCTGTCTGCCATAGAATTCAGTACTGGATTAACTAATAATCCCTTAAGTGATATTTTTATTTATTTTCATTCATTTCATCACTTGTCTGCTTGATATTGTGTTGATATTGTAAGAAGAAATTCTACTTGAGTCACTTATGGGAGAAAAAAGGGTTAAGTCGCTGTCATTCCACGACTAAGCGACCTTTGACCCGTTATGGAATGATTTGAATCCTTTGCCAATAAAGTTGTGTCACCAGTTAACAAATTCTCTGATCAGTGGCTGTTACAAAGTGGAGGGATGCGTATTACATGTTCTGACTTGTAGAATCCGATTCTAAACATTTAAGATAACTCTAACCTCCGTTTTCAATTAACCGGTACAGTAAATAATTTACAATAAAATTATAGGCGATTGGAACACACAGTAGTCCTCAAAACCGTACTAAGTAAACCTAGATGTCATATATCGAAGCTTTCATTCTCTCTGGTGAAGGTGCATCAGATTTTCCTGACTCGCCATTTGATTGGTCAGCCTTCAAATCTTCCCTTGGAACTTCCTCTGACATTTCTAGCTGCTTAGGGCCTGGATCCGTAGGTGTCGGGGATCGAGACCCTTGAGGCGAGGAAAGGGCTGCTGGTGAAAGTGCTGGACTGGGAGCCAGAATAATGGGCACTGAACTGGGGCGTACGTTGTCTGCTAAGGAGCCCAAGTGTGTTGGAGAGGTGCTCCGGTTTGTTAATGAAGGTAGAGGTGGCTGTAAAACCACACAAACTTGCTGCTGTCCACCACCGGGAGGAGAAGAGATGCTGCTGTTGCTGCTTTTCTGGTTGGAAGGCAAGCTTCGCTCACCGTCTGGATTGTCTTGGTTATCCATTTTATCAACTAAAAAGATAAAGAAGCACGGAATGCAAACGGAGGTTAATTCACAGTTACAAAGTAGCAAAGTTCAGTACGTTAGTTGTATATAACCCATTGGGCGGAGGACTAACCGATTGAATTGTAATCATGATTTAAGAGTATTTAGAGCAATATTCCATTGAGTGTGGAAAGTAAAACAGGTCTGCATTGGTTTTGGTTTACTTCACTCTATGATTGGTCCGGAAAACTCGCACCACTCTCTCAACCAATCAAATGCAAAACTAAAACCAATCACGACTTGATCGCCCGCGTTTTCCTGCACTTTAGGCAGGTTACTTGTTTTTACTTTCGGTTCTCATTGGCTTTTTAACTTACTTTCCCATCTTCTGATTGGCCGTTGTAATTATTTTTGTAGAACTGTTCGACTTAAGAGAAGAAAGTTTCCAATCAAACCAAATTACATTATATAATATGCTCAGTTATGCACGCATTCTGATTGGTTCCCACTTATGATCTATTGAAAGACAGACGTATAGATGACGTCATCATTAAAACTTTTTTAATTCTAAATTATATAAAACAAATAGATTCCAATTTGCCGTGCGTCTGTACAGTAATAGATCACAGAGGACGTCAAAATATGGTAAGAACATCAGTGACACACCCAGCTGCGCCTTGTGTGCCACTTTTTTGTTCTTACAACATTTTGACGTCATCTGTGATCTATTACTGTACAGACGCACGGCAACTTGGAATCTATTTGTTACATAGCAACATAATTTCTCACCGTTACTAGGCAACTCCATAGCGCGATTGCTTTCCTCCGAAACTGTTTTCTCCTGCTCAGGCTTCACTTTAGGGATGTTGCTAACGGGTAATTGACTGCGAGGTGTAAAAAGTTCCTGGCGGAGGTTGGGTAAGAAGCAGTCAATCCGTTCCCATGTGACCTGCCATAGTGCAGAGTACTTATGTATGTCTGATTCTGGCCTGGCAGGTGTTTTGCGGTTATCACTTTGGGAACCAGCTGTTAATGTACATTCCTCTTCATCGAATATCCCTGCTGTTGACATCACCAGTAACATATTCTTTAGAGATTCTGGAATGGCTTCAAACTACAAAGCGAAATTAAAACAATGGTTATACGTGCATGTACGATGTGCCCGGCACAGCTCAAACAGTCTAATTATGATAAAAACCGGGTTACTAAATCGCGCATGGCCACCTTCGCGCAACTTTCATTTGACCCGACCCTTGTTTCTAATGGAGTGGTTAGAAAAGCATCCTTGGCATCTTTGTGAGTTAATTTAATATTATCAAGTGAGTTGATAACGTAAATTGGCCACCGTAAAGAGTTTCAGAGTTGACATTTAGTCAGAGCGATTGGAGGAATTGTGGGTTGTGTGAGTTTATACGCAGAAAATCGAGCTCTGCTATTGGTGGGAATACCAATCTCTGAATCGTTTTGAAGTAAGTTTTTAAGAATAACAGATTTAACTGCTTGCTTGGTTGTGAGGGTGAAATGTGAGAGCGAATGGAATGCGGTCAGTGTTTTCCTTCTCAGCCGTTTGTGGTGCTAGAAAACCAACTAAAAGTTTACGTATGAGAGACAAAGCCTTACGCTGGAAATTGAACTTTCAACAACCAACATTCCACTGAACGACTTTCCGTCTCCCGAAGGAATTGTATTTTTTTTCCAATTTGGTTGGTCTTATGTCAGTTGCTAATTGACTCGAAGAATGGAGGAAGGGCCTAACGGATGAAGTTCCATTTAAGCAGTGCCTTAGCATGCATTTGTTCTGAAGAGCACACCAAAGGAGACGGAATCCAGGGTAATGTTTTCCTCAAAATTTATATTCCTAATGGGTTCGATAATTTTTCCTTCTTAAAGATTGCTTTTAGTAAGCGCAATTAGCGCTTTCATCTAGATTTGCTTGTAACTAAAAATAATTTCTCCTGAAACAGTTTAAAGATATAGTTGAGGAAACATCACTGATTAGCTGGATGTCTCTAAGAAAGTAAGGTTGAAACAACCTCACATCTTCTATTGTACGAAAAAGTAGTCGGTGTAACCGTCTAAGTATCTAAGGGGGCGTCATGTTAAAGACAAAAATGCATTACTGGAAACTGAAGACGTTAGCGACGTTTGGGTCTCTCGTTCCGCTGGGATAACCAAGTCTTAAAAACAATCACCATGAGTGTGATTCCCATGCACTCTGCACCTCTAATACCCTTTATGCTCGAGTAGAAACAAAATATAATATTTACTCACCAGAAGATCGCTCTTATCTGCATGCATGTACTTATCCATAAATTCCAGGATTGTCAACCACAGTGCAGTAAAAGTGGATAAAGACAACAAAGGCGTCAAATGCTGTAGGAACACCTGTAACATATTAAATCAACCAAAACATGAATTCAGCTAATGCTCTGATGATTTTTGCTAGAAAATCTTCATAGCTTCGAATATTTCACGCCACAAAATTCCAGCCCATTCTCTGTTCAGTAAGCTAATAAGTTAAAAGAAGACGCATCAAAAATAAAATAAACTCATCATCGTTTTTCAAAGGATGTTGCAAAGTCTTCACAGTTCAGATTCCTCGTAGATATTCCTACCTCACTTGTTGCTAAGCGAGTTTTTATCTTATTTGTTTAGTCCCTTGCATTGGACTCGAGGAGAGGAGAACAGATCATAAATCCTATGGCGCTTTGTACTTATATTTTCGGTCAAACTTAAATCGTACAAAAGGAGTTTTCTATAAGTTAAAATCTTTCTCTTTTTCTTAGAGTGAGTGAAGAGCGACTAGTTAATGATGTCAAATACCTTGCAGAGTAGAGTAGCAGCTCTCATGCGCGTTTCTTCGACACCCATTGGATCACTATTGCTATTGACTTCTAATAGTTGAGACAGCATGGGAAACAAAACCTGAAAGCCAACGGATTGGCTGAATAAATCATTAACTTCTAGAAACAAACTACCAAAATTATCTTTCACTGTAAATATGCCTCTGTAGCCCCAACCCAAAATAGTTTTATCTGTTAGTTGTGAAAAATGGCGTCATGTTTACCGGTAACTTTCTTGATAAATGTTTCAAATCAAAGATGACAATGAAAGCTTTAAAGTTCGAAACGTGTTATATTTATGAAATAAAGGCGCCGAAATTTTCTATCTCGAATTCCACGGGCATATTAAAAGTAAAACACTTATTTCTAACCGAGAATTACAATGTGCTTCAACTTGCTTTTACAAGAAGAGCAGCGTATTGTTCCCGTTTCCCTTCAGGACAACTTTGTTGGGATATAAAAGTTAACGCCACTGTTTGAAAGATTCGAAGAAGTGACTTTAAGTACCTTGTTAAAACATGCTTCCCATTCCATGGCAGATAGATTTTGAAGATCTTGAACGAGTAACGCCCGCTGAAGATAAGTAAGAGCAGACATTCTCACATCCCTGCGCACATCACAACAAAGGCGTGCAATTCCTTGCAGCAAGGGACACCAGCACTTAGTCCACAGAAAGTCCAAGCTCTGGTCGTGAACTGGTACATCAGGGCTACCATCAGCCATACCTGGGAATTTATCAAAAATTCCTCTTCCATGAGTGTGAAGAGTGTACATGAGCTCAAGGAGCTGGAGAGACATGGCATCATAAGTATTGTTGATAGTCTCCACGATCTCAGCTTCATCCTCACTCGTGGCTGGACTACTGGTGGCCGACTTGGTAGATTTACGTGTCTTCAAACCTGTTGGACTCACTTTCTTTGAGCGTGAAGATGACGATGATGTCTTTTTGCTAGAGCGCCCCCAACTTCCTTTGTAATCAGCTGTACTCTCTTTGAGTTGCCAGCCATCTTGGCGATATCCAGCTCCTCCATTTAGACTAGCCTCTGAGAATAAGCGAAGAGCGTGAACGCAATGCAGGTAATTTTCCTTTGTGACATGAGCGTTGTCGCGGATCAAAAAGGCCAAGCTCTGACACGATTTCACAAACGATTTACTATCATGCTTGTTTAATTTTGCACCCACTGTTAATTCATACTGGTTCGCAGGAGAGCTTTCTGAGTCCTGTTTTGTAATCACCAACCACGTGTCTCCTAAAACACTTCCACTCAAACCTGAATCCGCTTCAATACTTGTAAATGAGCCGCCTTCACTTTCTGAGTTTGATATTCCGTCCGCAAGTTCGTAATTTCTCGATGTCAAATCACTTCCCACATCGGATGATGCCGTGGACATGGACACATTACTTGAAGTAACAGTTGGTAGTGAAGCAGCAGCACCTACACATTCCAGCAAAGCAAAAACTGTGACCCAGTCTCGAGAGCATGTTATACTAGAGGCGTTAGTCCGGATCAGTTCGTGAAGTCCGAAAGAAATTTGCCTCCCACAATCTTGCAGAACATCATGCTTCATTAACAATAAGATACGAAGGGTTAAAAGAACTTGACTGGATACTTCTTCTTTATGCAAGAGACGAATTGCCAGCCTTAGCAAGCCAACAACAGATCTCTCCACAATTGAACTGAAAGAAAGAAAGGTATACACTTTAAACATGTCTATAAAACTGATAATATCACTTTCCATCTAACTGCTTACCTGTGATGAGTTGCATTGACAAGAATGTTTGACAAATGATCCCTCACTGTGGCCCATAATGCTGATACACGATCCCTTTAAAACAAATTATACATATCAGAAAGTCAAGTCTTTAGATCAGATATTGTTACCCTGAAATTATACAAACTATGGAAGATTCAGACAAGCTTTTATTACAAAAGGTATGTCAGTAAACTTTAACACCTAATAATTAAATTTAGCCGTAAAAATCGTCCAATCGGGTTTCAAGAAATTTAGATATGAATTATACAAAGTGTACACCAACCTTGAAATAATAAAAAAGACAAAAAAAGTTGTCATTGAAAAAAAATTGAGAAACCCCTCCGTTTTTCTAATAGTTAACCTGACATATGGTGGGAAAAACCAGCGAGTGAAATACTTTTGTGGAAGGAAAAAGTAATAAGAACAGTGTACTAAAAAAAACATTGCATGACGGTTATTAGTCTTTGCCGTAGTTGGGACTCTAGACATAGAGGTAAAGTGTCGCCAGCTTGCGAAGTAGAAGGTCAGAGAGTATTCAGGTTTCAGTGGCAGGAAGTGGCTAGGCATGTTGCCTCACCCCCTGAGCACGATGCAAGTCCATCGCATGGATAACCCCTACCCTACCCCTCCCCCCGGCATTGCGTCAACTTTCCCGACGGTTTGTACCATTTTCTCTTCCTGGTGGAGAGAGGTGCAGGGGTGAAGGTTCTTGTTCGCGCACAAACATCCTTAGTTAACAGTAAATGAGGAACAAAAATGGGATTACACCACATTACCAGACTCCTCTCGGAACATGAAGGAATCATATACAGTAGGGTAAAAAGCCAGAATACAACTGCACCACTACCTGTTTTGCAAAACAACTCTTATTAGAAGTTCCAGGAAAAAAACCGCAGCCTCTTCATCGTAAGGGACAGATTCTTGGTTCTCAATACTTGAATTGTAAATCAGCACCTGACAATATAATCGATTCAAAACATTTGGCCGCGGTTGTTGAAAGGTCGGATAGCGCTGATAGCCCTCGGGCTGATACGCTTTTCTTACTGCAGAGGCTGCTGCTTGAATTTCTTCGTTAATAAGAAGGTTCAACTTTCAAAACTGAATGTTGAAAATAATTCAGGGCGGGGATTTGAATAAAGTACATAACTGGTGCTGATTTTTTCTTACATCGGTGGCAATGGCACAACGACTACTAACAGTAATCTTCTTCATTTGTATCACACTCATGACAAATATCACACTCCGCCCCGTGTTCTTAGAATTATAAACCGACCAGAACGGATACATTATCCTTTTCTCAATCCGGGGGATGAGGAATCGTAATTTTCCCTGAAATTGAACCACTCAGCCTGGTAGTAACTTATGTGGGTATGACCCTAGCAGCCTCGAAAGCACTAACAGCTTACCCAGGTGTCAATATGCAGGTCAATAAAAATTTGAAATATTGGAGTCTTTCTTGTTATTCTTTGAACAACGTGGCCTTTTGTAACATTCCTCATCCTGGTTTAATAACGCCAAACACAACATTAATCATTTAAGTTCACAGACGCTGAAAAATTCAACATTTCAGATTACCTTTATGAGCTCATTCAAGGAATCAGGTCTCAAAAACTTGCTCTCTGTGATGAGGAGCTCTGGTAGGCAATCCTGGGTAAAAATTCAAACGCCAGCTTAGAAGATAAGTAAAACATGCATTTCTCGCCAAATGATAAATCACTATAGCGTTATATCGCTTGAACGATATATCGCAATGACGCATAAATCGCAGTAGCTATATTTCGCTGACATAAATCGCGCGCTCTAATCACAGTAGCTATATTTCGCTGAAGCGACGATATGCCGCGCGTTCTAATATCGTTGTAGTGATATTTCATTGGAAAGACATCGCTGAAAAAAAAAGGCGCGCTAAATCGGCGATATATAGGCGATATCTCGAAGGAGAAGCGCGATATTTGGCGATAACTGTTTTCAATACTTTTGTACAGTACGGTATTAATGAGCAACCGTTTCCTGCGGCTTGAAGATCAACGATTCATTTCTTTTCAAAGTATAAATTTTTTCATAAAATGTTCACTTGTGTACTTCGAGGGTTTGGTTCATCCGTCATTCGTACGCACAAACGACTTGCACCACGCTCAGTTTCAACTTACTCTGATGCAGGTATGTGCTTGTTTTTGTGCTTCTTTGTCTTCTGTGGTCTGACCTCTATAACTTGCTGGCTCTGGGTTCACAAACCACCACGAAAATAGAGATGTTTCCGGCCTGAGAACACAAGTTAAACAAAAGTCAAGAACCTCAGGCAGTCTAAAATGTTAAATTTTCTCCTGCACTTGGGGACAATTTTCCACTGCCTCAATCTCACGCATACACATGTGCACGCTATCCAATCTCAATTCATGCGGCAACTTAATGACAACATCACCGGTAAAAACGTTTTTAATAAAGTTTGCTCTGTGCTGGTGACAGGATGGTTTATTCCAAATGTTTCCAAATTATTGCATATTAATGAGTAGATAACTTCCATTTCGTTTGATCATCCATTCAAATAACAAACCTTATATATGGCAGTTCTTCTGGTAAAAGACTAACTCTCCCGCTGGCTTCAACAAAGTCTTCCGCCTAAAAATAACATCGGTAAAGTAAAGTGTTACAACATTCACCGCTGGAGGGTTCTGTTGCCTCACAACAACGAAATAAAAAATAACACAAAGGTGGCCGGGAAAAAAAAAAACACAATTTCTTCTGCTTTATTAAGGCGATATTTGTTACCTCCACCATAGATTTGGGCAACAACTTGGCTTTGAATAGCTGAAGCATACAGTCCATTATATTCTTCCAGCCTTCTCGTAAAATATCCCCATGACGATGGGCCAAAGCGAACAAGGTTCTTGCTGATTGCTGCGACTTTAGATTTCTACCAAAAGATACTGATAGACTCTCTCCAGTCTGTTAACATAAAGAGCAAACAGCAAATGGATTTACTTCACTGGACATGTTAACCGATCATTGTGTGAGTAATCAACTTTAATTTAGACTTTTAATCAACCAAATAATTTTGGAAAACTGTCCTTTAAGAAAGATTATAAAACTAATCAAATCTACATCGCTGTCGTAATATAACTATATACGTTTTCCTTCGAGCACGCCTTTCAGAAATGAAGTAAAACATTGACTTCCTTCGCATCAAGTCCACCGATAATCCAGGGCTGAAAGCATCAATAGTGGATTATAATACGACATGAAAAAATAGGAACATCTCTACCACAGTATTTCTATTAAAACTCTCTGTCGCCAAAGATAAATGCACACGAGAAGATACGTTTCTTCGCACCTCTGGTGGAGTAAGTAGTGATGTAAATTTACACAGTGAAATAACCAGGTTATCAAACACATCTGACAAGCTGTAATGAGCTGATATGAGGGCGCATTTTCTGAAAGAAAATAGGAGGCAATCACTGAAAATGTTTTAGAATCGTCAAGTATTTGGTTCATGTGCTAATAGAAGTATTGCCACGATGCTACTGTAGATATAAGTATGGCTGTTAAGTAGTAGCACGAAGTCAGTACCGAGACTTTCGAGGAAAGGACCCACGGCGTCAGTCAGATTTGTTTGGTTCCCGTACTAGCTCCAGGGGGGTCCTCAGTTTCTTCTGTCTTTCACGCTTCATAAAAACCAACAGTCAAAAACCCTTGACGGTCCAGCCAAACAGGAAGTTTAATACGAATGTGCCGGTCAATGCATGATACTAATCCTTCAGCTTGTAAGTCAGACTGACTCCTATTATACGCTGTATCAGCTTGACTGATCATCCCTTCACTCCCTATCATCAGTGTGCATATTCTCCATACTATTCCCTGGACATTTCCTAAGGTTCTGATATGGAGAATTTGTTCAACAATCAAGAGCTTCTTTAGTTGGTGATCATCTCCTTTATTCTCGTGACCTCAATGTTTGATTCAGGGGTGATATTGTAAGGAGAAATTAGATGCTAGTCACCCTTACAGGTCAAAGGGTTATACAGCTGTTTCGAAAAAGGTTGTCGACGAAAGCGTATAAGTGCACGCGACAATCCCAAAAGGTAATGTGGGTAGTCTTCAAGTCACGGTTCCCTTTAACCAAAGATTTCAGGGAAATCTGAGAAAACATCGCTGTAAGGACGAGGCATTGCGAATGTCACAATTTCATCTATTCATTTCACTCATTAAAGTTCATTGATTAACGGAATCCAACATTACTTTTCGAGATTGTCGCGTGCAGTTTTTTCTGACACCCTTATCTAAACAGCAGTATGTTGAAATGCGTCTAAGAGAGGCTGGAGGCAATTTTTGTAAATAGGATGATGGTTAACCAACATTTACCTAAATCCGACGATAGCTTTCTGTGCAACACTCTTTTCCAGTCCGTTATCGTAAACATATGACAAAGCAGCCACAGTGGGACCCCATATGATTAAGAACAAGTCTTTATCAAAGCTGCTTCCCAAGCCATTAATATACTTCCCTTCAGGACTACTGCTGCGACGCAACAAAACCTGTTTGACAAAATATGTACACACAAAAAATGAGTCAACAGATTATCTATTTCGTTTGGTACAAAACCAAATGAATTTATAGGTTCCATGGCTGAAGTAACGTAGTAACCTTTTCGCGTAATTAAAACACAAAGGGTGGAAAAGGAGAAATAATAGCTCTTCAACAAAGACCTTCCCACAAAAAAAGGAAAGAAACGCCCACAAATAAACTTGCTTATGATAGATTATTCAAAAGTGTAGCTTTTCCTTCCATTAAATAAGCCCAGGCTTGCAGTTCAAGGTCACATGATCAACCCTTTCCTTCCTAACATCAGTATCCATGTTCTCCGTACTGTTCCCTATACATTTCAATTTCCTCGACTGCGTCTCGGGTTTGCATGAAACCCTCCTCGTGTTAGGGTAAAGTACACTATTCCTTAAATATAACGCACGGCTATCCAATATCCTTCTCTTGTTGGAACAAATTTGTGATTCGGAACCAACCAGTCTTGATAAAAACGACTGTTGTTACAACAAACATGCTAGTTTTTATTCTAACCTTCCAATCATAATTCTCTCTTATCTTTCCACTTCTCTCCGAAGGCATGACAATCTCTTCATTTCTGTGGGAAGAAGAAACAATATAAGCCTCTGATCTCATAAATTCTATGGAGCTAAGGAAAGCTAATAATTCATTACCCAACACGCTAACGCGGTCATCCACAGTATCTCCTGATTTATTTTAAAAGAATTATGTAAGAAATAGACCAAATAAACCTTTCTTGGATCGTATTGTAATTGTTCAAATGGCAGACGAGGGAAAACAAAATTAGAGTTGTCTTGTTTTGAATCAAGTATGTTCACAAGATTCTAAGATTTATTGCGCTCAAAAGTATGCACTCTCCGGACATAAGCTCACCTAACAACCCCCACCACACCATATGAGTCGAGGAGCATCATTGAGCACGCGTTGTTCTTTCATAAATGAACATGCGCATACAAGCATAGATGCCTTCATCTGTACATGCAGAGATGTCTACGGACCATACATGCATACACGCCAACACATAGACAAAAAGACAGACATACAACGATATATCCACAAATAACAAAATACACAAGAATAAACCCTCCTTTTCCCACATTCCAAAGTAATTAAACACATTTTCTTACAGCTCTACTGCTGAACGGCCCCAACTCAGTTGTCTCTTATTTCATTAGTGATTGACATTGACAGTAGCACATCACACTGGTGTTCCACGTGTTCATCATGAATCTATTGTATGGTGGAGTGTCTTTACCTTATTGCATGATACACTTCCTCTAGCATACTTGCTTTAAAATCCGCCGTGCCATTTGTCTTTCTCAAGTTTTTCTTAAATTCCTATGTGAAATAAATCACATATAATCTTTACTAGAACAGTCGCTACAGAAGCAGTAAATACAACGTTGTTCTGTAACAAAATATAAAACCATTCACTTTAAAGTTTGAGAACACTACACAAACGAGGGGGCTTGGAAAGTAGGCAGATTTTGAACTCGACATGATAAATGCAAAATCTGCTACAGATATTGCATTTATCAGGAAAACTTCGTACGCTATTGTATATCGATTAAATGCTCTCGTCCAATTATATTTTACATAGGAAGTCTAAGGTATAGTAATTTTCGTTAATGTTTAGTGGTGTACCTCGCATGTCATTGGTTTCTGTTGTTTGATGTTGGAATTGTGCTGGTCCACATTCAACATAATAACAGCATAGCAGAGTGTAAATACAGCATCCTTGTTGGCATATGGCTCTGGATTACCTTCCTATAAGTTATCAAGAGGCCGCACACTCAATCAGTACACCACGACTGATATATTGATTTATTGAGAGACTTCCTAAACCAATGCAGTTTGTAAACACAGTCCACTGTCACTAGGTGGAGTAATCACACGGTCAAATATCTAACTGACTTTAGATTTATAGGAGATCGGCCGTACGAGTTAAGAGGTAAAACACCAGATTCTGGTTGCTATTAAGACAAATGCGTCTACAAAAAGTGATAAAAATAGTTTCTGAATTGCGATGAAAAAAATTCCGATTTCCTTTACGTGTCTGGCTAACACTACAGTATATGGAAACTAATTCATTGTTGAATGCCTTTATCCTTTCAGGTTCACGTGTCCAGTGAAGCACACCACCATAAAACGTCGATGTGAACGGAGAAAAAAGGGCCCAGCCAATTCTAAGGAGAGCGTTTGCAAGTTAATACTTTGAAATAAAGTAGGAGTTTCGAACTAGGCACTTTTAGGGGGGTTCAGTACGTTATTTGTAGTTGGCCATGTAATATATATAACAAAACCTTCAACTTACATAGAACAATTCAGAAAAGAACTCTATAATGTGTTCAATGACAGGACTTTCACCCGGTAGACGAAAACTTTCTAAGAAAGAACGAAGAGCTTCATCCACTCTTGAATCATGGAAATGGAAAGATCTGACGAGAGATTAGACAAGGAATGTTACGTCAATGCAAAGAGTATATGGAAATAGCAAACCATTTGAAATTGTTGTCTTTTTTATTATGCATCGATATCGATATCGTCGATATCCCGTTTCTGTGGAAGAAAGGTCAGTACGACAAACTACGAACCATGTAAGAGCTAATCAGAATGTTCGGATTTACCTTAGGACTACTTTACCATACAATAATACTATCTAAAAATGGAAGTTCTTCCGTCTGTCACCAATAATTGTCAAGTCGTTTGCAAGTTAGTATACTTACCGCACGAATGCTTCTAAAACTCGCGTGTTCTTTTTGTCACCGAGGTAATCGCCAATCGTTTTCTTGTCAAGACGTGGATTTTCACGCAAAAATTTGGCCATTTCTTCATGATTAAGAGGAGATGAAAGCAGCCCTTGCTCTTGCAAAAATTCAATTCCTTTCTTAGGCTTGTTGTTGAACTGCTCAGTACCAGCTTGAAGAATCTAAGAAAAAACACATCAATTAGTTTGAAGCAGAGTATGTTGCATGATGTAAAAAAAAAATCAGTTATCTCTCTGAAAGTGATTCAACAATAACTCTCCAGACAAACATTATCCAAGACTGAGCGCAGACTTTTTCAAACAAAACGGGTAACGAGAATTTCTAAATTATATGAAGGGGAGTGCTTCTTCACTTGTTGTCTGGTGACTTAATTCTACCTTCTTTCTCTGTCTCAGCTTGGCCAGAGTCTCGACTGCTGGAAGGTGGGAAGAGAGTAGAAGACCGAGAGATGAGTTGAAAGACTTGTCATCACCAGACTGATCACAGCTCTTTGCAGCACTGTCTTGTGTGCTCAGCTCTTGTGATGCCACACCAACGGTCATTTTTTTGGCCATAGCAAAGCCAGAAGTTGGTGGCGACGGTGGAGACATAAGTGAGGAGGAATCACATTTGTCATCTATGCCTGAATCGTCATCTGCTAGCAAAGCAAGCGGGTAAAATTCCATGTAAAGTAGATTTGTCAAAGTTATCTTTCACCTAACAAACTGAAAAGGAACTGTGTAGACGTGACTACCAATTTTGTCTTCTTTGGAATACGGGTGAAGTTCACACGCTAATACTAGACACTAAACAGCTAACAATAGCCACTCTACAAACCACTGGTCATGAACGCCCATCCAATCAATGATCAGTTAAAAGTATTGTAAATAGATTCCTTGGAAAAAGGTAATTCCCGGTTGTATTATCTTTAGCTGAAATCTTATCAGAATAATCCGTGTGTTCTTTTTAAATAGCAGATATACAAGACTCTGAAGTGAATATGGCTCCTTTTATTTGTAATATTGTGAGAGGCTCAAGTCTAGTTTTTGAACGACACCTAAAATATAACACAACACAGATAAGTTACAACATCCTGTTACCTGTCGTCTTGCTTGGACATTTATCAGCGTTATTTTCATCTGTGGAATTTTCTACTGTGTTTAAAAGCTCAGAGTGACAGTGTTCCTCAATGTTCTGGACCACAGCAAGGAGAGCATCAAGAGAAAGTAAATGTACACTATAAAGGCTTCCAGCTGAGGGAAAGGCGTTCTGCAGAAAGAATGACGAAAAGAACTAAGTTGCATAGATACCAAAGTCAATGAGGAAACGAACGCACAATCTTTGTTTTCCTTTAGACTAACAGTGTATTTGCATAAAACACATTTTGGAAAGAAAAAGAAAAAGAGAAAAAAGAGAGCAAAAGTACTTACATACTTTGTTTTTCCTTTTTTAAAAAAGAATAAAAGAGCATTTGAATGAAACACGTTTTGGAAAGAACATCCTACTTAAAATATTCAGAGAAAAGAGACTCTCCCCATGCCTTTTCCTTTTCTTACGGCCACTTCTTACGTTGACGAGTCGACTAACATACCTGTACACTGTAACAATTAATAATTGAAAAGAATTGCTTACACAATCAACAAAACTACAGAGCAATCAGTAGATTGCATTTCTTTCGCTTCCACCTTTGATAACTATGGCGGAAAATCAAAATGTTGAATTTTCTTTGTTGGTGTTTCTTGCAGTAGTCATCACTTCAAACCTGTGACAAACTAAAATTGCAAAGTATACCTTGGAGAGAAGTTTGCAGAGTTCCTCAAATACATTAGTGCTGTACACATCACAGTCGTAGTTCAAATAAAGTTCCATGACTAAATTTGGAACCCTGAAAAGCTAGAGACAGAAAATACGTGATTGTAAAGAAATATTTAATTTCAATTTATTATTTATTTACACATAAGTCTCACCAAAACATTTACCCAGACAGTGAATGGACAGCAAGACCCACTGTCCTCTATACTGGAAAAAGGAAAACAATTCAATGTACACGTAGTTAAAGAAGATTTCAAGCTTGTCTTCTGAAAAAAAAGTTCATCGGCCTTTTTAAAATCATCAGAGTAATTTGTATCAAACTAGAGTGACTATTTCATCAAATTATAGGTACTATCTTGATCGAGGGTATTTCCCTCCTGCAATGGGTAAACTCTTTTTATGTTACAAGGAAGACTTACTACCAGGTTGAAACTCCTGTAAAAATTTTAAATATTATTAATTTGTACAGTTCACTGCTTTAGCACCTTGGATTCTGGGTAGCTGATGGCACTATGTCCACCTGACTACGCCTAAAGAATGCATATGCTTCTAACAAAACTGCATCAAAACATATTTTTAGTAAAAGAACTAACTCAATGTCACCTGATTGACTGCATCAAGGGTAAGTTCTCTTTTCTCATAGGGTACACTTTGGGGATCTAGTGACAAGATATCCATGAGCTTCTTGAAAAACATCTGAATATGTTGATAAATAAACATCAATGTTAGATCCTCTAGCTTTAGTCACAAATCAGACTTGTGGTGATGATTTCTTTGTATATGGGAAATCTACTGAGGTTTGGATGTGGCTTATGAAATGGATTTATTTATATGAATAGGTGTTGCAATGGTATTGCATTTGGTATTGCCCTCCAGGCAAACCATGTGCATTGACTGCTGTCTGTACCCAGGGGGAGGGGAGTTTGAACCTTACATATCTTTCCAGCAGAATACAAGACAGTGTTATATCTATCAATGTCTAGGTGTTTAAAGGTATCAAGTTCACTTTTGTCAGCAAAAGGCTTAGAAGAAAAATTCTACAAGGTCTAGCATTTAAAGCTTGGTCAACAAGTAAAAAGTCACAGTCACTGATGTTGCCTATTAAAAAATTGGCCATCAAATCCAGCACATAAGTAGGGCATTTGAACACAATTCTGGCCTCAGGAGGTGGGAATTTGAATAGAAGGAGGATGCTGAAGCTTCAAATTGATTGACACATTAATTACCTAAGATTCTCTTGTTTCACTGCACATGGATCAGGTTAGGAAGTATTATTCATGGGCACATGAAGGCTAACAATTAGGACCACATTGGATACATGATTGGAAAATAAATATCGAGCTAAACATTTGCTGTTTCTTTCCTAATTGCTTAGCTGAAAATTTCTAATCACATTACAAACCTCCATTTGGAATTTCAATTCAGTGCGAAGCCCTTCAAACAACAGGAAACACACTCTCATTGCCATGGTAAAGAGTCCAAGAACATCACACTGGATAAGCTGAAGAAATACCATGCAACAGGGAAATAATCAATGTTAGAAACTACAACACAAGTGGAAAGTGCTTTGTGTGCACTTTTCCTGGTAAGCTTAGAGGCATTTTTTCATCTTTAAGGAGCAGAAGGGAAATAACACTGTTAAGCTTGTGGAGATCTCAGGGAAATTCCCTGCTTGTCCTTTGAATTATGTTGGCAAGCAAACAGGACAAAATTTGAGAGAAAGAGTTCTTTAGAGTAGTCACATGACCTATATTGCAAAAACAAAAGATATAAGCTAAAGAGGTTTATCAAATGACTCCCCATTTTTCTTTGGTTGGCTAAAAGCAAATTATTATCTATAAAACAGGTAGCTGTTACAAAACTGATAGTCATTTAACCTTTCCAGCCAAAAATCAAAGTTTCCGTCAATTGTCAAACACATTAACAATTAAAAAATACCAAATGAATTGCTGGATTTTCCAAGATCCACAAAATATTGAACAAAGCAATAATACTTATTAAGTATTATAGTAGTTAAACAAGAGTAATCAGCAGTTCTCTTTATCTCCAGAAAAGTGACAAACAATTTTTTTTTCCAAAAAAGTTTTTCAGTTGGCAGTTATCAATATAAAATTTTGAGCCATTTGTCTCAATAACAAAATAGGAAAACCATCATTTACATAAAATCATAAATTCTGAATGACTGGTTCATAAAATATGTATTCCTTGAACATAAAAAACAGGTGAAACATTGAAAGAAAATGAAAAACAAAAAGAGATGTATAGACAAAAAAATGGATTAAGTTGAGAAATTCCTTTTGAATCAAGTAAACCAGTTTTTCTAATTTAATAAATGCAGCACTAAGTTGTGCTTATTAGAATTATGCCCATTACTTCCTTCTTTAATAACAGTTCCCATCTGCTCCTAAGTAACCATTATAAAGACACTTTAAACCCTACATACCCAGAAGAGATTCTTGCACATGTCATCCTTTACAAAATTCATCAGTGATGGAAAAGTTCCAATGTGATGGGAACCAGATTCAAGAGCAACAGTTAAGAGAGACAGTCCCATGTGAATCATGGCTTCAGAATTATGCCTGATAATGAGGAAATAATTCAAGTTCACATAATAATTTGAGACAATAAGACAAAAAAAGGCAAAGAAGAATAAAAATTGTCATATGATTATAATCACAATCACATTTAACATGTATCATTTGACCTCTTTTCCTCAGGTATCTAATGAAAAATTTCAGCTGGGTTTTACAATACATGAAAAAGAAAGACACAATTTTTCTAATATTCTAAAATCCTAGTCACCTATACCCTTGAAAACGGCATTAATAATTATAGAAAATAAAGACATTACAACATCACATCAGTGTGTAATGTTCAACTGAGTAATATATATTGATTGGATTTTCATGACATTCTATCCTGTTAATCACAGCTTTTTTTTCACATTTCAAGCCTACCTGTCATGGGGATTAATGAGAGAAATAAGAAATCTGAATAGTTCTCGAATGCAAGGCAAACCATAGGGAACCAAAGGACCGGCACCTGCCATGAAATACTGAAGTTAGTATATGACAGGTAATGAGACTGCCAAAAATATATATGTTCAACAGATCAATATAACAGAATTCTCTCACAGCACAAAAAAAATCAGTCTGTAATGTTCAAATGAGGCTTAAAAAAATAAATATTACTCCAAAACTATGCCGCCTTTGTTTTACAAGTAGTTTTCTCTTGGTTGTCCTCACCAATACCTTGCCATTCAAGATGTCCACCTCATTGTTGAAGTCACCCATTGTTGAGTTTCATGAAAGCAAACCCCAAATCAGAATACATTTTTAACCATGGTCTGTCACTACATACCCTCTTTAACAGGTTCTTGTGGGGTAAAACGCACTCCACGAGGGTTAACATAGTCATCTTGTTGCAGCATTGCTTCTGTTTGGCTTCCCTCAGCTACTTCTGACAAGTCCTCTGACTCAACTGTTTCTAATGATGCAGTACTTCCCATTATTTCTTTCACTTGATCATCATCCTCTGTTATGAGGGAGCTAGCAACAATGTCTGTGCCAACCTAGTTTACACATTAATATGAACATAATTATATTATCATCATAACTGTAAAATGTTGCCAGAAGAATGACTACTCATTAATTTTTAAAATAACTCCCAAGGTGTCAAAGACATTAAACTTGAGACATGTAATAACTGTCTTTCTAATTCATGATGGCACCAGTAAAGCAAGGTTTGTGTAAATTTTGGCATTGGATTCCTGTTAACTTTGATTAATTTCAACTAACATTTCAATCTGATCTTGCAACAGTAGAATTATATTTGCACTCATGTAGTTTTTATTTCTGAATCATATTAGCCTTTTCATAAACAATGGCAATCTTGTTTCTCCAGTAGTTCTGGACAGTCATGTAAGTAAAGTTTGATTCCCTCATAATTAGCATTCAAATCAATTGAAATATTTATTTATAGTGTTCTTAAATGTTCTTTGTTGTGCATCACCATTGTGATAAGCCAAGTTGAATTTTACATGATAACAGTATTACACATTGAGTGACTGGATGCTTTTTAAATACTAGACCAAATAATCGTTGTTAATCATTATTGATCCTTTCTTCTTAAAAGAAGTTTGTGATTTGTAATGTACATGTATTTCTGCAATCAGTTTATCTCTTGAATATAAATGGCCCTGTGCCTATTGCTACAGTTTGTATGTAAAAAGGGCCACCACATTTACCTCTTCTGCTGACTTTTCACATACAACCTCTCGCTCATCTTCAGACATAACAATTCCTTCCATGCTCAGACCATCCCCTTCTACTTCACTGCTCATTAGCTGTGATGCTATAGATGGCCCTTCTTCATTGAGAGGTTCAGTGAGGTTGGTGCAATCTCCAGCAGGCTTGCCTGTGTCTCCATCAGACACAGGTTGTCCTGGTACACAATCTGATATTTCAGAAGATTCTTGCAAGAAATTTTCTTGCAGAGTTGGATCAGTTTCAGAGACATTTTCAGGTTTGATATCCTCTTTCAGTGGATCAGAGGGGGTTGTGATTGTTGTTGTAGCTACTGTTGTTATTGTTGTTGCAAGGGGCATCTCTTCAAAGTGACCTCGTCTTGGTTTAGGAGACATATGCTTCTTCCTTTTTCCAGTTGCGATGGCTCCAGCTCTTTTGAACACCTATTAAAACAATAGCTATAAATTAAAATAGATAGATAGATAGATATAAATAGATAGAAATAGATGGGTGACTAATTCAAAATTCATTTCTAGTTCAGAAATTTATTTACATCATGTCAAAAAACTTACTTTTCTCAACCAGTAAAAGCTGAGTCAAATGCCCTCTCTCACTATGCTATTAAAACTGTAAGCTTTGCGAATTGTATAAAACAAAATAGTCACTATGGGCAAGCATCAGTTTGATTAAGCAGGCCTGCTGCTTTTATTTAGTAACAGTTATTCATCTCATTGTTGGTGCAAAGTTGAATATTTATATCACCTAGAAATATCCACCACAATTCTTTTTTTCTTTGGCGAAAAATTTTAAACTTTACCTAAACAACTAATTTAAAATCAATCTGTCAAATTGACTTGGGCTCACCTTTCTTATATTAGGGATCATCCCTGACTTTAGCTCTTCTTTAAATTGAGGGAGTCTAAGGAATTCAAAATCAAACAAATGTGAGCTAAATCATATGTATGCTGATGTTAGTTTCAATGGTTTACATTTCTCCTTGGTAGTAAGTAACAATTTTAAAATTTTCCTGCCTTGAGAATGTAACCCCTAAAAGAGACATGTAGCATCTAATTTCTCCTTACAATATCACTGAAATCATGGATATCAATATAATGCTTATGATGCCCCACAACTTCTAGCATCCTTTAACCAATCATATCTGTTTGAGATCATAATCAAGGAGGTGAAAATGACACTTCCTGCTGTCCCCATGAATACCTATGACTGTATTCAATTAAACTTCAACATTTTGACTTTCTTTGTAAATTGGATCTTGAGAGTATATTGGCACAGTAACAAGGAAAAATAAAGGCACAATTTAGGATACAAACTTGCCTTGAAAATAGAAGCTGCACCATGTCCATCAAGGTCTGTTCAGCAGAACGTCGAAGCAGTTCTTAATAATGTAAAACAAATACACCTGTATTAATTTTGGTTAAAATTGAATGTATAAACTTGATTTTAGATGTTTTGTTTATATTCAAGTTACTAATATTCAACTATCAATTTTCATCATAACCTTTTCTATACTGTATTTTTTAAAGCAAATTCATCATTCATAATACCTGAAAACCAGCTTTTGAGTGTTTCTCACTGGAAGCTAAGTATATTTAGATAGTTGACCAGTATGTACCATGTATGTATGTATGTATGTTTGTTTGCTATTCTATAGAGAGTGGGGCTTATTTAAAGAATGAGTTTGAATACTGTACCCAAGCAAGCAAAAAAATGTTCCAATCCTTACCTCAGATTTAAAGCATATGCGGTAAAGACCATAAGTTCACAATCTTCATGGGTGGAACAAGCATATTTCTTTATAAGCATACTTATTGTAAAGTACTTACCAATAACTAAAGGGGGTATGTTTGCAAAGATACTGTAGTACTGCTTCAGTAGGGGGTATAACAAGATGTTATTTGGTTTCATCAACTGGGTTGATAATATAAATCAGCCACCCTTAGAGTTTCTAAGCTAGAGTTTTAAACTCTAGCCCTTCATTAGAAATGTTAGCCTAGAAACTCTTTGCAGTGGCCAATTGACATTATCAACTCAGTCGATTAAACCAAATTTTCTTACTTACCACTGAGTCTTGTTTCAAAACAAATCCTGAAGCAGGACTGCATGATCTCACAGACTGACTCATTTGTCATGTGTGCACCAACAGGTGTTAGCAGCAGTGTCCTGAGCACCTAACAAACATAATTTATAATACTTTTGTAGCAGAATATTGATTGATTTTTAAAATACACTGTGAGGGTTTTTTCTATATGTTTGAGTAAACTTAAATTTATCATGAAAAATATATCATGAAAATAACAGGCTCCCTGACTTTCTGTCCTGGATTTCAATTCAGGCACATTTTGCCTTCTGTTTAAGAGGTATATTCAGTTCATATCCAGAGACTCTACACTAACTAAGGCCACAGGGAAGTAGATGTTCAGTTTTGCCTAAAGGTTTTGGGCCTCAACCTGTTAAAATAGCTAATTAAACCATTTTTAATAAATGGTAAGAGAAAAACTGGAAAAGGAATTAGACCCTGAAGGTGCACTGTATCACCCAGACCACCAGTCACATCATAATCACTGTAGCTCAAAAGTCATCACAAAAGGACAATACTAGAATCTGAATTTCAAATATATTCTTCATCAAAGCAAAATTATCTTACCTGAAGAATCTTCATGAGTACTACTTCATCACTGCTAGGGTCTGTGCCTACAAATCTAGCATGAGTAACAGCATCAGCCAGATTCTCAATACCAGATGCTGCACTTTCACTGGCTGGATCTGCAACACAATACTCTCCTAAAATAAACCTGGTTGAATAAGTTTCTCCTTAGGCTCATCTTGTCCATTTTTAATTAGACCTGTAAAGAGTGTTTCTACAGAGGTTTATTACTAAACCCATTGTACAAGTTTATTACTACAACCGTTGTTAGGATCGAAGGCCACAGTTAAGGGATACTCTCATTAAATAAGGCTTTACAGTGTCTTTATTTATGAGCAAATCTCTTTCCATCCAATCACCTTAAAAGAAAAGCTTTTGGCTCTTGCGAATTTTCTTACTATCACTTTAATTTCCAGAAAACTTTTAGGTCAGTATACACTGTAAGTTAAAATCCACTTGCCCAGGGTTAACAGAGAGTATCTTCTTTGCAAGCTATCTATCCCAAGTCTGAAATCTGCAAATCTTTTAGTCCCAGCCAAAACACAATGCTTGAGGCTGAGTAATAAAAGGAAGTAAACATACCAACAAGTCCATAAGACAGAAATTTGTTCACAGATGATAACGCAACACCAGTAACAGGTCCTGTTGTGTCTTCGGACCTAATGACTTCAAGAAATGGGCCCAAGAAAGTGTTTACATCTACTTCACTCAAATCTGCAACAAGATAAGCACACAAAAATACAAATCAAATGACATTTAAGAAATACTACACAAATAATTGTATATGACACAACACATGTACTTAAATAACTAAAAAATAAACATAAATAGTAGTTACATTTAAATTCACTTGTAAAGGCATAACCTAATCCATACATGCCAAATAGGGCTGAAACAGTTTAACATAACATGCATACAAACATCATGAAACAAATTGCGCAGGAAGATACCACTACAACCTTGAAACATTCCCATCTTATGATAATCAATAGCTTTATGTTATAGGTACACAAGATTCCCTTGACAAAGTTTCCATGCTCTTAAACATGTAGATCCCCTTCTTCTAAAGAGAATCCAGCCCCCTTCACCACTATAGTAAACAAGCACCCCTTCTAATTAAAAATAACTTCTTTCACCCCATTCACCTTACTTTCTGAATGGGATAAAAGAATGACCTCTTTTCTTTGTCCCTTCAATTGAAAGGTTGCATGGGAGAAAGCCCTTAATGAGCTCAAATTCACTGTTAAATTCTCCTTTCAGATCTTGCCAGCATTTGCATTTACATGTATCTGTTCCTTACAAATTTTTCCTAAACCTTTGCTAAATTTACACATTTTTACACAGGAAGATTAACATGTGTTTCTTGAACTAAATCAGTGAACTAAAGTTTTTCAACTGAAAGGCAATTTAGCTGGCTGGCTTACACACACTGGAAACACATCAATTTGAAACTCTTTTAAAACTTGTTTGATACCGGAACAGGCTTTGCCCATGTGTCTATAGTCTACAAATCCTTACCAGAAATAGCCGCAAGCTGGTCTTTAAGTTGAGAAAATCCATGAAGTAATGGATCTTGTTCTTCATCCTGTATTTGAACCAAAAAGATTAACATCAGATCTAGTGAACACAAAGCAACCTTTCAATGAGTCTATTATGATCTTTAACTACAGTAACATGTAATTATATGTGGGAAGAGAATGAAAAAAAATTTAGCATCTAAAGCAAAAATTTATAACACAGTAAGCTAAGTACATCATACAAAAAAAGATTGTCCTAATAAATACATGTACACATCAGTTTCTTTAACCATCAAACTCCCAGAAGTGATCAAAATGAAACTTCTCCCTATTATATCCTTACATTATCCAGCAAATAGGTAATGAGAATATTCAAACTTATTAGGTAGAAGTTATTATCCTGATCTAACACCAAATTCTCATTTCTACTTTACAAGGAAATGTGTAGCAGCTTGAGAGGAGAATAAATAATTTGATCTTGGGAGTTAAAGGGTTAACTTTGTATATAAGAAAAAGAAGCCTCCACAGCACACTTGGAGCTGCCAAGGTATGAAAAAAGTGTACAGAGAAATACATGTAAGAGACTCCTTTGATACTCTGTAAACGTTTTCCTTAAAGCTCCTTCCTCCACTGTAGTTAGAGGGAAGAATGAGTAGAGCAGGCTTAAATTGATCCCTCACTAGGTGACTATTTTTCATGTCAAGGCACCCTTCGATGACAAGACTAAATTTATAACAACTACAATGATTAAAAGCACAATACATTAAAAAAGCGAAAATTTCATCTAAAGAGGATTTAAACCAACCCAATGTAGAACCTCAACAAAATAAAATTTTAGATTTGTAAAAAGTGTAACGTAACGGGGGTTCATCGAGTTAAGTAACAAATCGCCGTCTACATTCAGGGCGATTTGGTTTTAAATAGTAAATTTCGTCTCAAGGAAACTACGATAAATCATACCTGGTGACTGTGGGAGCCGCCACGAACATTTCTTCGTAAAGCCGCCACCACAAGAGACATTTCACCCTGAACAATGTAGACGCCATTTCGGGTAGACATCTGCCTTTGATCTTCAACTTTTGACATGAAAAAGCAGAAGCCGATTGCAAAACTATTAAAGATGATTTTTCATAACTAAACTTTCAGCCAGTTATCTTCTGGCCACTCATTTTAAAAGATAGAGGAAGAATTGTTAACAGTCCACTAATATCTGAGGGTACATCTTGGATGGAAGATCCGCTGACGTCACTAGATTACACGCAGGCGCCAGACGAGAGCAATCTGGGTAAGACTTGAGATCAATTTTTATGTATGACACATATAGTGTACACCTTACTTTCTACACTAAGGTTCCCTAGTTTGTCTAGTTTCAGGCCCATAAGAAAGTCGAACACTGACCAAAGTGTAATCCAACCATTTTAAAACTGTTTGGAATGTGCTGAAATACAGATGCCACCAAATCCAATTTGAATTTGTTTAGTTATTTAGCAGTTTATCTCTGGCAAAACAGTTTTGTACTCCTCTTGTTTCCACCTCTTAACAACTTCTTTGAGCAGTTCAGAGCTATACTAAAAGTTATCGCAGCTTATCCCTATTTGTGTGGTGTGAAGTGACTGGAACTACAGTTGCTCCCTTGAATGATATGCTAGTTCATCACTGGGTTAACCACCAGCATTTTATCAGGCTCCCCTAACCATTTGTTCCATATAGCTCAAATGAAAGTTTAATGACACTTAAATAAAGTTTATTGTTGTCATTATAATTCTAATTATTATTATTACAATTATTATCATCATCATTTATGTTCCTTGGTGGGGTAGTCACACAGAGATTGACCTGGCCAGGTCTCAAACCAAGACCTTCTCTACCCAGAGGCTAGCACATGAACTATTGGAACATTTTGTCTCCCTAAAACATTTCTTCTTCAAAGATCATTTTCTATCTCAACTTTTCTTGGGTGATTCTTTCAGAATTAATTCTCCTAAAGCCAGGGAAGCACTCACCTCCAAAACTTGGGAAATCATCAAGTGTAAAAAGGGACAGACAGCCGCAAGCCCTGCGGAAGCACAAAATGTCACAAAACGCACACAGCACGCAAGAAGCAAAGCTTGTTGGCAAATAAGTTTATTGGGGGATGACCTGCAAGAACCAACCCAAAAAATTATACAACAAACAAAATTTGCAAGAGCTCATCTGGACAACATGACATAAATTGATTAGAGTGTAACAAGATAATTTGGTTTTATCACCCAAGTTGATAATGTAAATTGGCCAGCATAAAGCATTTCCAAGCTGAAGTTTCACACATTAGGCTCCATCATTTGCTCTGACAAAGGGCTAACGCTTGAAACCTCAGCCTTGAAATGCTTCATAGTGGCTAATTTACAATATCAACTCAGTTGATAAAACCAAATTATCTTGTTATACACCCCCAAAGAATCTATCCCTTTAATAATTACTGTAAATCAGTGAAAGTGGTGTCTATCTATCGCTAGTCACCTCCACTATTCACCTCCACTTTGCTGAATGATTAATAATTATTATTAATGTTGATGTAATGTTATGACATATTTAGTTAGTGGTTATTTAGCATTTAGTTTCAACTGAATGCTAATTAAAATTAGGATTTGAATTCAAAGTCCAAAGTTATTTGTCTTCAAGCTATTATGTTGAGTTTCCATGTCTAACTTCCAGAAGTGGAAGTGTTTAGTTGTCTACTGAACTCGCCTTAGATCCACACGAAAGTTCTTGTTTTGGCTGATGCAGTCAAAGGTTCATTTGGTTAACTGGAAGCATCAGAAGTGTTAAAGCTGTTTTTCATTTTTGAGATCACAAAATGTTTGGGATAGTGTTCAGACCACAAATGCTTTTTTAAACAATACAGCCAGTTAGTTTGACTGCACTTCACTGGCAAATTTTTAAGTGTAGGTAGATAAAATATTTCTCATTGTTATTAGCATACAGAATATCCTCTTCGTATCCTCCAAACCAAAGGCCTACAATTAAAATATGGGAATTTGTCTCATGTGGCTAAATTTCTTGGGATAGGAAGAAGTTTGAGTTTTACATGGGTTTACCGGCACACTTACAAGAGATTTTTGACTAATCAGTGTGCACGATTTAGTTAAATTTGGTCATAAATTTTGGGAAACAATGAAAATAAAAAGTTACTTTAGAGTATGAATGTCATCCAAATGCTGAGGTGGTAACAGAAGAACGACAGGTGAAGCACAACCATAGTTGAGCAAGACTACCACATACTGAACAATGACAATTTATGACCAAACTACCCACGAAGAAGAGAATTTGATGACTAACAATTGAATTTGCCCAATAGTGAGAGTTCTTGGCTGTTTTATTGAACAAACTATGTTTTTCTTTTTACAACACCGCCCCAATATAAACTCAAAGTATCAAACAGGGCACAAAATATCTAAGGCTCCACTAGGTTATTCACTAGATAGAGCCAGAATTCTCACTGACATGCTTGTTACCATGGCAGACTAACTTTCAGAAAACTATACATGTAAGTTGCCTGGTAAAGGCTGGTTCGTATAAGAAACTACATTATAAGTCAACGATACATTGGTGAAACTCATCCACATTCTTCTACAAGCATGCATGAACACCATACATCTAACAAGTCCTCTTACACTTCCAAACCTTGCAACTTTGCTGCAAATCTCGCTCTATATATTATTTTAAAATCTCTGATTTTCGTTGCACAAAACTTCCAATAAAATTGGAGTATATGCATTCATTTAGAAACTAAATTCAAATCACTAAGACAGCTTATCACGTCATTCTTAGATACAACTTACAATGGATAATTAACAGTACCCTGGGAATTCAAAAATGTTAAATGACATCTTTTAAAACAAAGATTCAATTACACTAGTCTGAATCTCCTATTAAAATACTGCTCAAAAAAATGTTTAAACATAATTGTGTACTAATTGTAATGAAATCTAATCAATTAAATATCCCGTCTTAAAGCACCCCTTAATTACTGTGTTTAGAATGAACAGAGTTCATCACATCTAGAACACAAGCTTAATTTTTTTTCAGATCTACCGCAACAGTAACATTTAATCTCCACCTTAATGCAATTCCATGCCAAACTGGCTAACAGAAACCTGTGTCTTGAAAGCAAAGCTAATTTGTTCATTTCGTTATAGTAATATTATGTGTTGACATGGATTCCCTGTTTGTTAAGTAAACCTGATGGAAGGGAGATGTTCCTCTGGGGAACATAACACCTCAAAATAGACAAAGTATTGCTACATGCAGAGCAAGTAAAAGAATCATAATATGGTGATAATACTGGTTTTAGATCAGAGTTGAGAAAAACTGATTCAAACTGTTAAAATTTTAGCCCCTTACTTTCCTATATCCTGTAAAAAAGCTTTTTTCAGTGCTTGAGCGACCCCCTGATAAACTACATCAAAAAATAAAATACCGCACAGTGACCACAGGACTGGAGTTCATAGATCAATGCCAAAGTTTGGAGAATAGAATGTTTTCTCATTGTCAAACTTGGAACATTTACTATTCATTAATTTCAGGGCTCAATAGAGTTCTTGTGACATAAGCCAACCATCCTGAGGACTTGCAATCTCATCAAAGACTTTAAAGAGTCCTTTTGAACACATAACTGGGCATTTCTTACATTGGTCATAGGAAGTGCGTGCCAGCCAGCCACAAATGTCTTTATTTGTTGATGAAGGTAACAGCCAGCAGTTGCTCTCAACTGGAAGGGAGTCAATGTAGGACTTCATACCACTACTTATCAGCTCTTCTGCTCCTGTTTCTTCAGAAATGCTCTCCCTACCAGGAAGCAGCCATTGTTGGTTGGCCTGAGAAGCCAAATGTGCTTTCAAATTCTCAATACCAGTGAAGACTGAAGTCATGGTATGACTTTCATGATCTTTACAAGACTCTGTGGTAGATGCATCCGTCAACCATTCTCCAGGATCCAGCACAGAATCAGTTTTCACACATGTTTCCCGAGTGGCACAGGAAGAAGGTTCTCCTGTTCCTTCAGAATTCCTGAGCCACTGACTTGACTCAGACATTCTTACAATTTTGAAGTAACCTGAAGACATTTCAGGGAGTGTAGTCGTCATCAATGAATCTTTATGCCACCTTTGTGTCTCTGTTGCTTCAATATTTACCACAGCCACATCTTCCTTGTCTTCACTTGGCAAACTACTCCCATTTTCTGTTTGCTTGCCTTGTGGTTTGGCTTTGCTTAGCCAGTACTCCAAGGGATACTGAGGTAAAGAAAGTGAACTTTCTGGAGCTTTCCTGGCCGGCACTGCATTCTGATTGAGCCAGTCATAGATGTTCAATTCTGAAGACGGGGCTCTCAGGATATCTTGCTGGGAACTTTTACCATTATTCACTCTGATCCACTCTTTAAATGTTATCTGCTCCTCCACCAGACGACTATCAGAAAGCAGTGCTCCAAATTTGTGTATGACATCTTGAAGCTCAAAATTATGAGCAACAAAGCTCATTACATTGGTTTCCTCAGGACTTAAGTTCAGGCAACTAACATCTTGCAAAGTTTCCTTCACAAGATCTTCCAAGGTTTCAGCATCAAGGAGCTCACTGTTCTGTTCAAACAAAGCATAAACTGACTGGATCCTTCCAAGAGCTTTGTTAAATGCAGCAATCTGCTCTTGCAGAACACCATCTTTTATGCACTGTACAACCTCAACCTGTTGAAGTAGCCATGTTTCTCTATTTCTCAATGCCTCTATATGGCGACTGACACTGTCACGAATCTGGGATTTCAAATCTGAGGCCGTAGATTTCAAGTTAGCTTTCACTTGCCTAACTTCACCAATTCCTTTTTCCAAGTCCTTTTTTATCCTAGCCACCTCCCCAAATAGAACAGCCACACTCTCATTACAATCCATTTTAAAATCTACCTGTGTGAAAAATACAAAAACTGTTAAGTAAAAGAAATATATTAAACTGAAACCAACAAATTACAAAGCAACAACTAAGAGGTAAAACAATGTCCTTAGTCCTTAAAGAGCGAGACATTAATTCTCACACTAGAGATTTCTATGGTAAAGGGCAGCCTCAAGGTACAAGTGTTCTTCTCAATGTACCATCCCTTGATAGTCAAGTGGATTATTCTCAGAAAGGGGGTACTGGGAGTTTTGGTTTTGTGGTTTTGGCTATTTTTAGAATGGTTTTTCAGTTTTTGTGCCACATGTGACTGATTGATTCAAGACTCCAATAGAATCTCCAATCTTTCAGGTCTTAGTTCACAAATGGAAATGTTAGATTAGGGATTTTCGATGAAACTTTCCAGAGCTACAGCTTTGTGCGACTGCAAAATTGCAATCCTTTAGAGGACTTTTGTGCAAATTTCCTTTATTTAACTGGGCTCCATCACCAGCTGCTGAGTCTGCAGATAAAGCCTGTAATTTAAGCAGATACTAGAGGATACAAATGCCAAGTCCATAGCATTCACAAGTACTATAATGAAATTAGTGTAGTTTACTCTCTATGCTCCACTTTTCATCGATCAGGGTTTTAATAACTGGGATGTGAAAATGCATCAATTGTGACAGTTTTGCATGCAATTTTCAACTCTGATTTAATTTTTTTTCAATTTTTCAGTTTTGGATGACTTTTTCTACGGTTTTGCAGTTTCTAATAGGCCCCAATGCCCCTCTCTTCGGAGTATACATAACAATAATGTATTTGAAGTGAGAGGAGAACACATTGAGAATATTGAAAATAGGACGGTTTCTCAAAACAGTGTGAATGAAACCATAAACTTCAATCTTAGTTGTGCCGTAGCTCTATAGTCTCTTTCCTAACTCCAAATGGAAACAGACAAATTGGAGGGTAAAAGTACAAAACATGCTAGGATATATTTCACATAAAATTAATAGTTCATCTGCTAATAAGCTTTGGTGGTGACTTGTTTAATTCCTTTAGGTAATAAGAAAAATAAGCAATTGGTTTTCTTGAGTGGGTCAATTGCCATCACCCTAGTACTTAGGGCTGTTTATAATTAAAAGCTATCGCAGCATGAAATCTTTTGTTAACCAAGAAAAAGAAAACATAAGAAGACAGCTAATTTGACAAATGACTCACCCCACTACATCTACTAAACCCGCAACACAAAATTTAATCACATCAAAACTAAAAAAAAAAAATGGACATAGTGTCTACTGATAAGTATTGAAAAAACAGCCAATAATATAAGGCACTACCTCCCCCCACCCACCCCAGAAAAGGGTTTTCACATAACAAATGCTGTTTTCAGCTCTCTGTATACATATGTAAGAAACCTGCATCTCTGACATGCCAAGAGAAAATACAGTTACAGGATAAACTAATAATTGCATAAAAAACTTAGGCAAATGCAGGCACAAAAAACAAAGTTTCTTTCCAACAGAAAGCCCGAGAGAACGCAAATATGCGTCAAGTTCAATATTAAACGTCGCCTCTTCATACTCTCCGCGTACATTGGGCAATGGATCATACTTCCTCCTCAGAGTCCAAAGGTATAAGGTTCGAGACAGTTATACAATATTCTTTGGCACAACATATCAACAGGAGATAAAAAAAATTGTCATGAGCAATCTTTATATCCCAAATAAAAGAGGGTTTTATTCGTCATTCATTTCATTAAATGTTAACATCATGATTCAATCTGCTACGTATCATTTGTCGGTCAATTGAAGCATCATATCATAAAGGAAACTATAAGAATCGCAAAGATTTTTATTAGTTCAAATTCGACGCAGAGCTTTTTCATTTGCAAGAATGTTTTCGTGACGTGAGTTCTCCGCCTAATTATCGACGTTCCCGTTTGTAATTCGCTTTTCAATCAAACAAAACGACATGTAGCACTAATGTTTAAGAATCTCCAAGTTCATATCAGAGTGAACGGATATCGTTATCTCAAACTCGACATATAAAATCAAATTCTTACCAGAGTAAGATGAAAGTTCTTTGAATCCTTCACAGGGAGATACCGGTCTTACGATCGCGAATCGTCTTAAAGCGGTAGGTTGTTACTTGAGCAACAGGGAGAAGGAATAATGAATGAACCAATCAAAATTAAGATTATAAAACAAGTTTAGAGTTCCGATAATAAAAACGCTGTGATTGGCCAAAAGGCTAAACTGAGTTTTTGTTAAGACTCGTGATTTTCTTTTAAACGTGTGCGCATGAGATGCCGCACGTCATCATGTTCTGCATCTGATTGCGAAGGAAAATTTTTTTTTCTTCATTGAATCACTAAAACTGAACGTGCAATCAGAATGAAATTGCGTGGCCTCGCTCCCATTCTTCTGTCGCGTGATAAACCATGAATTTTAGTTGTTTTTTTTTAGAATTAAGTGTAACGAGAGGATTCTTAGCTAATAAGTTTATTTTGAATGATGGAAAACATAACAGGTCATAACATTATGCATGGAATCTGCGGAACTTTTGCTAACCTCGGCAAAGCGTACGTATGGTCCCGAGGGAAACGGCCTGTTTTCACATCAGAGAATACGCAGATTAACTCGAGCAGAAGCGAACTTTTTGAATAAAGATATTTAATTTCCAATAACGTTGCATTTTTGGCAACCTATTACTTGACGAAGATCTTCAAGGTTGCGGATAATCAACAAAGTCGTGACACAGGACAGTAAAGTGCTGAAAGATTTTTTAAGGCTATATCGCACGACATGCGAAGTTACGTGCAACTCACTTGTATTCTTGAGCTTCATATGATAAACTTTCGTGCCGATTTCATAATAATTATGTGGCATCTTCAGCGTGGTTAGTCTAAGTTGGTACCCAACAAAAGTGCCTAGGCTAGACTCTGTAAGAGTGGCCCTCTTCTCTGTGTGACTCTGTTGTACACCGCAATGTCTTCCGTGAGTAAAGCTTCAGCATTGACAGCATGCCTCTGAAGACTTGGTGCCGTAGTCCACGAGGTGCAAGAATAAATACTGAACTGAATGTCGTTTTGAGAGCTTATGACACGGAATTTTTTTCTTGCGTTTTCTGGTTTATGACTGTATTTAAAATTTGAAATAGTCGGCCTTTAGCGCCTAGCGAGGTCTCCTTGACCATTTTTTGCGCATTGAAAGTACGATTTAGCGGCCAAAAAGTGTCCCCATTTAGCGCACTGCTGAAACGATCATGCCACATAGCTGTGACGTAAAAAAGGCGAAGTCAAGTCGGCAACTATGGTGGAGAAACGAATTAATTAAACGAATCAACTGACAAATCAATACAAGTTTCGAAGTTTATGACAAGGGCGTCAACGTCATTCCACCACCGCGATTAACGATAGAAGAGCTTCTTTTCAAAGAATGCGCGTTTCATGTGGCCGCCATAGGTACCTGAGATATCTCTGTTCTGGCGAAAATTTACATCTGCGCTGTGAAAAAGTAATGTAGTTGTAGTGATCTATTTTGGGTGCAAACTCGTCCAAACTTGAAATGGTTCCTAGAATTCGAAGCTCCAAGGATATTCAAAGAATGCCATCTCGGAAAGAAGACACTGACAATACTAAATTTTGAAGCTCCTGCGAAACACACTTAATAATGGCAACTATAATTGTCAGGAATGAAATTAAGAGGTTTTGAGCTGGATATAAATATGCTTGTTCTTATCCTAAACCAACAACCATAAAATTAGAGATGTTTTGTAGTGTTCTTCGAGAACAGTACATTCCTTTATCATGATTGACTGCATCAGTTTGGTTGTTTTCGGTTGTCTTATTAAGAAGTTTTGGGGAGGATATAAAGATTGCTTGTTCTTATCTTAAACCAACAGCACTATGAATAAGATTAGAGATGTCATGTTCGTTAAGAGCAGTACATGCATTGTACATGCCTTGATTGCATCAGTTCGGTTGCTTTCTTTGCAGCCGGTCAAAAAGCGTTTAACTAAACTAGTACTTAGAGAAAGTTCGTTTTGATTACGCCTATTTAGGCTCCTTATAGACTGACCTTTTATATGGAATACCTCTAATTAAAGTTGGATAATATAGCTGTGTTATATAATTTGGAAACAAAGTTCATAGCGTTTTGTAAACCCTTTTTGCAAATTGACATTTTATTTACACTTCAATTAAGATTTACAGCATCACGTAAGGAAAAAAGTCTTTATGTACATTGAAGATATTGTTTCGGAGTGAGGCCTTGTTTGTCAGAGAATCGCGCTTAATGTATATCATAGGAGCCCCGTTAAGGACTCCATTTTTCGATATTTCGAGGCTCCAGAAATTCCCTATTTCGCTATTCTAAATAAGGACTCTTTCGTAGACTATCTATTTCGCTCTTCGATTACTGTATATCTTAGAGGACCCATGTATAGACTCTCTATTTACCCATGATGATAAGGTCCCTTTGAGGGACTCCATCTTACCAGGTATTATAAGGACCCATATATAGGCCATTCTTTTCACAAAAAATTATGATGTCCTTCCGTCTATTTTACTGTTCATCATAAGGACTTATTTATAAACTCTTCATTTCACCGTACATTATAATATTCTCTCTAAAGACTCTCTATTTTCCTGTTTCTCACAGAGTCCCTTTCAGAGACTTTTTAGTTAACTGTAGTACATTACCAGACCCTATCGGTCCTAATCTACTTCTCAAGTATTCCAATTTACTACAAAACATTTCAAGGCTTTTGTAAGAGACTCTCAGTAACACCATACAATTTAACAAGGTCCCTTTTCTGAGTATAAATAATCGGTCATAATAAAAAAAAATTCGAAAGACATTTTGAAATCAAGAAACAAGGTCCTTAATACAGAGAGGAGTTTAGACTTCCATTGAGAACCATGGATGCTGCAGAACTTGTTTAAGAGTTGGTCGCTGATCTGCTTCGGGATTCAACAACATATAAACAACGTTCTTGACCTCTGTTTTAAAAAGAAAAAACAGATAATTATTAATTTGGATCAGATTTTCACGGGAAATGCCCTCAAAATCACTGCATTATCTCTAAGGACTTTAAGGGTCGCGATCTCTTGGAGCTGAAAGGAAAAAAAATCGAAACCCGAAGAATCTTACCCTAGGTTATCTCAATGGCCGGATTTGATCTGAATGGTGTAAATGGAGCCATTTCATTTGTGTCAAGGCAAAGTTTTCCCGAAATCATCCTCAGCTAGCTTGGATGGCGATAACCATCAATGACCCAATAACAGTTCTTATAGACCTTGATCGATAATTGAGGGCGAAGATGTCCGACCATCATACCAGAATTTCCGAATACTTTTAATTCCAGTAAGTGCTCGTTATGATACTGAACGGTTGAACACAGAGAGTAGAAGTGACCAAACTAATACACACCTGATGAAAAGTGTTGAGGTATTCTGGGCTCCATGCTTAGGCAATGTTGTGGTTTTTCAAATGCAGAAATAACTGGTGACAACATATCGACCAAGAGGATTCCCATCGCCCACACAGTTGCCTCGCAACCGTCATATTTACTTGTTTTCATGAATTCAGGGGGCATGTATTGATTTGTACCTAAAGGAAAATTTTTGATAGCTAATTAGATATCTAATACCAAAAGCCTGAAGAAATTTTATAGGTTTACTTAAGAACAAAGAGGAAACAAACTCTCTTGCCGTCACGTGGCGTGATGCTAAGTGTTATTTAATTGGAATGATATATGATGTCATAAGACGCAAAATCAGGACCAAGAATATCAGCAATAATAAGATACGCAAAAATAAAGAGGCTAAGTTCGAGGACTAAAGGGTCATTTTCCCACAATATCTGTCAACTGGGCTGGCCTTCTTTCTGAGATCGTAGATGTTTGGATGCCTGATTAATCTTCGTCATGCGGATTTGACACCACTCAAAACAGATTTCTCTGATGCAACAGTTCTTACCTCTAAAGCTTTCAAAAGGCTCTTCTTGTATCTCAGATGCCAACCCAAAGTCAATCAACTTCACTTCATCATTTGTCAAATCCAGCAAGATATTTTCAGGCTTGAGGTCGCGGTGTACAACACCTTTTTCTTCGCATGTGATGTTAGCTTCCAAGATCTGAGTGAAGTATCGTCTCACTTCATCTTCTGACAATGGGTTTCCTGCGGAGTTACGGTCCTGTATGACGTCAAAAAAGTCTTTGCAGGATTCTGGTCGTTCCATAACATAACAGTAATGTTCTTCTGTAAAGATGAGCTGGTAGATTTGGATGACGTTTGGGTGATGCACACGACTCATCAGATAAGCCTCAGCCGGGATTTCTCTTCCTCTCAGCTGTAACAAGGGAGGGGAGAGAGGATAACAGTTTCAATACAATTCAAACCTACTCTTAATAAGCTTCAGTTAAAAACTAAATAACAACAGGAGTCCATTGGTTATCTGGAGAAAACAGCTGTGATACATTTTGATGCAGTGCCATCAGAAACAAACAAGAGTCTATAAACTGTCATAAACTCTTGAGACCAATCAATATTTCGATCGCATTTTTCGAGAATCCAATGGTATCCGTGACGGTCCGCAGTCGAGACCAAGTTTTGATTCCCGATCAAGATAAATTCGATGTTTATTCATATGAACGCAACTTGATTGGTTGAGGGAAGAGAAATTCGCGCAACAAATAAACATCTTTATGAACACAAGACAACAGGCGAACGATGAACCTATTCACTGCAATTCATGATTATCCGCTCCAAAATTTCCAATCAATCCCAACCTGCTTGTATCAAACTCAGAATGCAAAGTAATTTCAGGTCTTGAATCATTTTAATTTCTCCGTTTCCAAATTATCTCTCGGATGACGTTCCTGGCCGCTGAAGTTCTCCCCCAGACACTACACAATAAGGTTGTTATTGTCATAGTTATTTCTGTGATCCACGTTGTTTAGTAGTAGAAACCAAAATACTAACACACATTCCCTCTTACATAAACTAACAACTTACATTCCCTCTTACATAAACTTAAACTTGCACTAACCTTTTTAAATTCTTGCACGGAGCTCCTCTTTACAAACTTAAGCGCCACCTATGAAAAAGGGTTAAGTGTTGTTAAATACCTCATGCATACACGCCAAAGCCACGACCACCAGCTCCCTGGATACCACACTTCTTCCCGCTCCTTTTTTCCCAACTAAGGAAGCTCGGCTCTATTCAATTTCCAGTTAAAATTCTCACTCTCAAGTTACTGAGGTGACACTCGGGTAAAAATTAACTGTCTCGCCAAAGAACACGAGTAAATGAACCCGTGCCAAGCTTTGAGTCCCACCATTTTCTTTGAGATTTAGAGCTCGTCTTGAAACTCATTCTTTTCTTATTTCAGCCTAAGTGTAACGTAAAAGACACATACTGGTTTATCATCCGACTTGCGAGTCGCAGCAACTACTTGACCAAATGAACCAGATCCAAGGAGTTTTCCTATCTCGTATTTCGCAAGATCAGCTACAATTGGAGCGAAATGAGCAATCGATCAATTCATCACTATCATTATTAGGAAAAAATAACGCAGTCACTTAGACATAAACAACAACTGGCGTAGGCGTGGACATAATTTGCCAATAAGAGTAGAGTGGGGAGTGGGGAGGAGAGCTCCCTCATTAATATCTTACTTTTGTTAGTAGCTTTCATACTGTGGCGATTTGTCATTTTTTTTCTTGACCGATGAGGAAGTTATAAAACATGGGGGATAGTGTCCGTGACTCGCCTTCGACCTCCACAGAAAAAGTTTATTCAGGAAAAAGAAGGAGGTAATCTCAGTAATAGGAAAATGGAATGAACATACCATTAGAAGAGGCCAGTTCCTTGATGTAGTCAGGAGGTTCAGTATTTTTAACTTCTTCCACATAACTGCCGTAGTTTGGCTCATAACTTGGTGACCATAATGGAGAATTACAATCTTTCAACCAGTCGGGCTCATCAGGGTCCTAAGAACATAAACACGTTATTGTAATGACAGCTACAGAGAAATGCTTCAAGTCCTGGAAAACTCTGAGGACAAAAAAGGTCTGGTGTTGTTAAAATGTGGTGAAGAATCGATAAAGCAGATTTATGAAGTCTGTTTCCTTCAGAGATCAAAACTTATACCCTTAAGGGGAGAAGTGAATAAAATTGAAAGACTCGCCTCCAAAGCCCTTGTTAAGAAGTATTTTCCAAGTGTACTCTACAAACGAGATCAATCTCCATCTTAAGTCCTCTCTCCTTAAGTCATACTCTCTTTTATGATGCCCGAGTCTTCGTTTATCCTGGTTGCTATAGACTACAAAACTACAGGTACTTTGTTGGGCATGACAAGTTTCCAAAAAGTTTGTGTTGAAATTATTCCCAACCTACTCAAAAACTGATTAAATTACAAGAAACAAACGGAACACAAGTATTTGTATCGTAGCTTTAGGCGCCCAATCAGGGAAAAATGAATAGGTGATAACCATCAGCATCGAACACTCTTTTGCCATTCTGGCATGAAATCTAGAAATGGATAAAAGTGCTACATGTAACCTTAATCATCTACTTTTTTTCTTCTTTACCTCATAAGCCTCATAATCGGGTAATTCTTCACTGGTTTTGTTTTCTTGCGGTGAGTTACCCTGACGCCTGGCTTCCGCACAGCTCGACCTTTTTCTGTTAAGGTGAAAGAAGCAACAGTGTTAATCATCAGTTGAATTACATACTATTTTCAGCAAATCATTTTGTTATTTACCTTGATAACTTGTAACCGCTATCATGACTTTCTTGTTGTCGTTTCCCGAGGGAAGCCTGTAAGGAAATAAGAAAGCAAAAATATGCTTTCTCAGTTGGTGTGAAATCGACGATTGATATTCACCTCTTACATCAAATTGTACAACAAATTTTTCATAATCAGAAGTTTATGCTGGATAACAATATTTTATTTTGCTCCTTTTGAGCGAGTACAACAGATAGTTCAGTGTTCATTTAACCGATTGAACATTTTGATAAGCTTATTCAAACGAAAGTTTGAACACTCAATCAGTTAAACATTTACTTACCCTGCTCTCGTTTTCGGTTTGTTTTCTTGCAGCAAGGGGTCCACATTCTGCTTTCCGCTTTCTAGAGGGTCGTTCCGAGTTAATTGCAGTCGGATCTACATTTGCATGTTCTCTTTCAGGTAAATTTGGTTTATTTGAAACTTTTTCTGAAGAAACTCCGCAGTTATTGCTCTCTTGCAAGTAACTGGTGTGAGGCACGATGCCTGCACAGTTGGATTTTTCCCTAAGAAAATAAGTGAAATATTATTGTGATAAAATCATCAACTCATTTGGAGTCGTTAGGTAACTAGTTGATGAGCGTACACGTTTCGTGTTTCCTTTCACTCACACTTCATATTTCCGAGAAAATTTTTTTAAGGCGTTTTTTCATTTTTAGCCAAAATGCGCTCACTCTGGTGAAGAAGGAGATATATAATTGAAAGAAAACATGTATTTCTCGAAATTTGGAAGAAAACCGTACCATTCGGGAAGATCCTTCAATGTTTGTTTCCACCCGCGTTTCCTGGCAACGTCTTCAACTGGCTTACACTCGCATTCCGTGGCAACTTTCCAAATATGGTCAAACGCAAGCAAAGCAATGCGAAGTTACAAGTAACTACTTACCTTCCTGACAACCGGCGTAAAGAGTAACTAGTGAGGGCCTTCAATGCAATTATTTAATTCATATCAAATTCAAAAGTTGACAATTTTTTATTTACCTCGGTAGTTGAGGACTGCAGACGAATCGTTGAATCTTCAGAAAATTCTACAAAAATAAAGAAGAAAAAGATTTGAAAATTTGTCACCCTCGCTATAAAGATTCATAGATTCCTGAAAAAGACTAGAAAAAAAATTAATGATGAAATTAACTTCACAAGCTGCGCTTCCGCGCGTTACTTCAAGAACTCAAACATTTTCAATTAGTTCTTCTCCGCTGATCCTACGATATTTTCTAATTGTTAATTGTGTCAATACATTTCAATTAGAAAATCCTGACAAGTTAACAACTACTCTTACTTGTTATAACTTACTTCGATCTCCTTCTCTCTCTGATTCCTTTTACTCTCTGCAAGGGAATCAGTTCCCGCTTTCCGCTTTCTAGAGTTTTGGCTTGATTTCCGAATCGGATTTTCATTCATGTTTTTGTCTTGACCTGACCTCGCCTTCTTTGAGAAGCGTGGAGTTCTCTTAGGCATGCTCGATCAGAGTTAGTGAATCAATAAACTCAACCTTGATTGCGATCAAATTGTGTCCGTAAACTTTCTTTGCGCTCACGGCCAGCTAGCTAGTAAACAACTGTTATGTTTCTGTGGAGGATTTCCAAACTACAGACCTTTGTGACGTGTTTTTGACGTTTCGCGCGCGCTGAAAGGTATGAAGAGCGCGTGCAAGATACAACTTTTTTTGTAAAAGTTTTCTCTAAAGATCTTGATAATCATTAATTGAGTATTTTGGCCTATAGAAAGATAGAAATTAATAGGAACTGTACGGTAAATTTAAAAAATTTCCATCTAAAACGTCGACCTTTGCACCAATTTATAAACTTGATATACAGCTTAAAACGGAATTCTTGAAGAATGTGCCGTTTTGACTACTCTTAAAACAAAGCAGTTTCACTCACTTTATTGAAAGAAGTTCGTGACAAAGCACAAGAAGACGCCTAATTCTCGCCGCTTTCCATCGCTGATTTCTTTTATTTGCGAGACTGACTCGCATAGCTGTTGACGCTTATTTTGCTTTCTTCCGAAAGAAGCAACCAGGACGTGATTTGAATTCTGAAGTTTAAGTAAGACAGAGATGCTTCGATGATATGACGAGAACTTTTTCCTCTATAACGTGGAGCAGTAAAGTAACTTGCAAGACCTTTTCACAGTCCAGGGACGCACATATCTCATGATTTTATTTTCTAGAAGTGAAATAATCAACCTTGCGACCGTTCATCCGTTTCAATAATGTCAAATTCATGCTTTTTCTCCTGACCAGTGAGTCTGCAATCATCGTCGGCTTGGGTGAAGGGATTGATAATGAGCGCAGCGCAAGATTGCGCATAAGGTTGCTATCACGAAAACTAAGATCGTGACGTTCACGAGAGGTTTTTATTCCTAAATAATTGGTCAATCCAGTCCATCCTTTGAATTTACTTCCATCTTCCCCTTTACACAAGCAGTATGGTTGTGATTCTTTCACAGGACATTGGTATTTTCTTTATCTCTATCTGGACTAATCATAACTATTACAATTTCCTCAAATGTGATTTATGCATGAGCTACTTTATATTTCACTAATCACTCTGTACAGTTGTAATCGGACAGTACAATCGGACAGTTGGCTGTAATCGGACACCTGTAATCGGATAGTTGAAGCAGCCAATCATACTAAGTCCACTCAGCTAAATCCACTTATGACAGAATTAACCACAATAACTATAACAATAACCACTTACCCTGAAAAAAACTGGGAAATTTCCAAATTTTTTGCTTTAGACATTGTTCCTACTGGAGATGTTTGTCCTAAATGTATTTTTTTCGGAAATTGTAATGGTTATGATTAATTGGTAACAGGACTTCGTTTCGTCCAATTCTGTCTGTTACTCGTATTATTACAGACCAAATTGGACTCCACTCGGTCCTATTACCGTCATTAATCAAATCGATAACAAAATTCTCGAACGTGATTGGTTATCACCAGCCCGATTTGAGCACTAATAGGACAGTGAACGCGTCATGCTTGTGATTGGGCAGTGCGATTAGGCCGTTAAAAAGACAGTTAACACGTCATTCCTGTGTTTGTGAACAGAACGCGTCGTGTGCGCGCACTGTTGTCTCACATTTCGCCGTGTAACTTGAAGTTTTATTTTTTACAAAACCACGTATAACTGATGTCTAGTTTTCTAAATCTCGAATTTTGTCATAGTTTTGATTAATTGGTAACAGGACTTCGTGTCGTCCAATTTTGTTCCACTCGTATGATTACAGACCGAATCAGACTACACGCAGTTACCATTACTAATCGATCGATTGATCGACTGTCGTATAAAAACTGCTGGCCTTAAGGGTGCGTTCGAAAACTTCGGAGGGCATATTGTGTCCGTAAATCTGTCGAATTGCCTTTCAATGAAGTCTCTAAAACATGCGTTGATCTTTGATAGCACTGTTCAGGAAAGTTATCCACTAAAAGCTGTAAAGGCTGTCCTCCCTTGAGTACTGCAAATTTTTTTTTTTTGCGTTCCACAGCTACTCTCCCTACCCTTGCTACTGGGTGCTCTTGATAAATATTGCTCTAACACCACCATTTCTAATTTAGCTATTATTGATAAACCCTTAGGTAAAGAACAGTGGATTTCTTTTTCCAGTCTCTGCCTTCTACTCCTCAGTTTTGTACATACGCACTAAAGGATTCGTTTATTTCACGACTTCTCCCCAATGAAAGGGCCTTGAGGGTCTCTTTGCATTCATGAGGGCGCCTTACAACAGCCAGGTTTAATTGCGACCACAATATAGAGTAGAAAACTGGTCCACAGGGGGCAGAAATCATTCGATCTTGAAATGTTCACCAAAACCAAACGCAACATCCCTTTTAAACCCCATTACGAGGTTACTGAGTGTTTAATCCCAGAACAAAAGTGTTAAATAACTATACAGTTACATTAAATAAAATCATAAATATACCTGAACGATTCATTCAAATAAGATTTGTTTACGACTGAAAAGTGCACTTTTATATGAGATATCTTAATAAGGTAATAAACATTTACATTCTTGACAAAAAGGTCATTAAAATATCCACATGTTGCTAATCTCTTCTCTCAATCCAAAGTTTCAATAAATAATAAAAAGTTCCACTGTACAAATCAGAGGATATCATTAGTACTAAGTATAAATAATATTCACAAAAAAAACCTTTTCGAAGCAACTTCACACCTTTAGGGTGGCTCAGCATGGTTCTATAATTTTCAAACACCAAGTCCTTGATGAATTGAAATTGCTGCCTCTTTCTGTGTGGCACAACATGAAGCACATAAAATTGTACAAAAAGCTAAGAAACCTTCTTAATTAATCGAAACATCTTAATGGTTCTGATTTTCTGAAAACTTTGAAGAAATGTGAATCTTGATATGCTGAGTGGACACATCATTGAGTTAGAGACACAAGGAAGCTGTGCTGTTGCTTTCGTTACCTTTTATGTTATAAATTCAGTGCTACCAATTGCAAGAAAATAATATGAATGGAAATAAGCTGTAATTCAACAAAGAATTGTTCTTAAATAATAACCGTCCTTGATGAAGAGTCAAGACAGAAGTAACATGATATCAATTTACATTTAGTCGAGGAAAAAAACAATCGTTTTTCGCGTAGCAATGGAAGCTTATGAAGTATTTCTGTAAAGTGGTTTATCTCTCCAAAAAAAAAACCTAATTAGTATATACCAAAACAGTACTGAATGACGCTAAAGGCGTGCTCTAATTGGCTTCTCAAACCCCGAAAATCCTTCGCCATTCACCTCCAAGCAACTCGCGCTCGAACATATTGTAAGCGCTGAAGGAATATATTAATCTAATCATCTTTGTGTTATATTATCTAATTATTTTAGTATATTCTAAAATAATTATTCACCTCAGTGTCAGTGGCTAGAAGTGTATATTCACCTTGCCGCTTCGCAGCTGGGCAAATATCCACCACTAGCCACCTTCTTTAGTCGTTTATTGTGTGACAGTCAAAAAGATCTCTCATTAACAGCACTTTGAAGCAACATTGTGGTTTAGTCCTCGGTAAATTTACTTTTCCATACCCGTGGGGCAAAATGAAAATGGACTCTAAATGAATAATGATTAAATACTAAGGGGCTGCCTTCAGACATAGTTCAAAGTCTTGTACAGCAACTAAAATTGTAATTTTTTTTTAAACAAAAGTACATTGATCAATGGAATTCTTTAAAACACAATCTCAGTCTAAGAACGTTGTGCCACCACACTGACTTTGTTAAAAAGGAATTTAACGATTTACCGTAAAAGTAATACGCTAGAGTATAAAGGAGATCATTAAAAGTAATTTTGTTTAGCAATTTTTGCACAGTTTTGTTTTAAGAAAACCAACTCGATTGGTAAAATTGCAATCACATAGCAAAGAGTGAGGTTTGAGCATTATCAGGCAGATGAGGGCCTCATCAATCCGTTTTAATCCTTTCCTGTTGCCTCTGCAATTCCTCTCTAAGTTTTTCTTAGGTTAGTTTTCCATAATTTATTCCGTGAGTGAGGTTTGTCCGGGTTAATATCTCGTGACCTTGGCTACTATTTTCACCTTTTGGTGTTTACTTGACCTTGGCTCATTTTTCGTTCTTCTATTCTGGCAAGTGCTGCGTGAACACGGAAACTCAGTCGGTTCTCAAAGTCATAACCACTGAAGTTGTCCTAATAGGAAAAGAGAAAGAGAGAGCAATATTAAGACGACTGATCTCCCTTATCTGGAAGTTTCAGGAAAGGACAGAAAATAAAATAAAGACGCTTTCCATCAACCTTGACTCTTTTCAACAGTTCTTCTCCTTTGGTGCTCATCTGAAAATTAAAAATTATTAAAAATTATACACATTATACAGGATTACTTTAATTCTAGTAACTAGCTCATAATAACGATAACTACAAAATTTTCGAAAAACTCAAGCAGGCCTGAATTCCACATAGTATTACACCACAGTCCTTCTAAGGACTGTGGTGTAATAAGCATGCGTGTGCAATAATCTAAGTCTCTGTCGTTTCTCCGTTTGCTACAGTGACGCGTTGTTTATCTCTTTGAATGTATATCTGTGATGCAAATTATGTCGTGTATACCACTCGAGAATTAACGAATCAAGCATCATCACTCTGCCATGGGAAACACTTCATGGCGAAGCATGGATTACACAAAAGAACCCATCGATTGGCTTTTCTTAGGTCTTCAGAAAATGTATCAGCAAGTTTGACCGTTTGATCTACGAAATGCTTTTTATTCCTCTGAACACGCAATGAGACCCGATTCACATCAAACTTTTTGCTTAACACTTTATTGCTATTTTACCTCTGGCACAAAAACATTCTTTCCTTTGTTATTTTTTTAATTACTTTATAAATTTCAACTTGTCATTTTATTCTTGACTTGATAATGACAGGAAGCAACGTCGAAACGTCGTCAACGATATTTCACGAACAGTTTCAGAAGTTTTTACAAGTTTTAAAGAAGTTTCTACGTATTTTGATAACGTTTTAGCATTGAACATTGCAATCAAACGTTTCTCCAAATCTCGTCTTAAATTTTTTTATGAAAAAATTATTGGTCAACACACTGCTAACCTTTCCGTCTTGCGCATATAGAACACCAAGTTCATACATGGCAAAAGGAGGCACGTGCGAATCTGGAGGACTACGACCGGATTTGACGATAGCATCCTGAAGAAACTGTCGATCAAATAGAAACAAATACAGTATAGCTGAGATGGCTTTAATCAATAGCTTAAACACGGCCTCTATATCAACTAGATCCTTAGCTACGAACTTTGAAGCTTGGCTGAAAGTGTCACTTTTGGAAATGGTCCACCAAACGAAAAGGGTATCATGTCCGCTGACCGGCTCAACCGAGGTGCATAACGGTTAAAATATCAAACGCAAGGAACTATTTCACAGCCATCTCCTCTGTTTAAACTTTGTTACAATTACACGCACCTTCACAGCTAAGTCAGTTTTCTTAAGGACCTGACAAGCCGATCCTTGTATAAGAGACTTGAGAGGAACAAGATTGGCACTCACTTGACACTCCTCTACATCTGCAATAAACAAGCAAGGATTTAACACCTCTTAATATACCACTATCGTGTCTCTTACCTCGTAGTCACTACCGAAGTGGACCGCAATCATTCGACAGCATACCGCTGGTCTCCTTTAGTCAATGAAGTTGAATGATTACGCATGATCCGAACTGACTACAGATGATGTCCCGTTCGACAGATGGTTATTCAGGATTTGAATAAAACATTGGTTTGGTTAATTCTTGTGTGAATAAATGCATGGTTTAAGGCTTAGATGGCTTGTATAATTTAAAGGGGGATCAATCTGCCCATGATTACAATCTGTCCATCCTCAAGATTGCTATCTCCCTGTCGCGATCTGGTAAACTCACCAACTGTTTCAACCACAACATGTCTCAAGTCTGGGTATAAAGGTATTCGCAAAAATTTTCATAGCACTGTCTTGAATGCAGTTTCTACAATGTAGGTAAACAGATTTTTGTGTTATAGCTAAGACTATTGGTACTTTTTAAATAAAGAAGAGTCTTACCTGAAAGAATTCTATTTAAGACAGTTTCGCTGCAAGTGTAGAACGCTCTCCACAGATACAGAAGTTCTAGTGCTAACAGTAAACAATCAGCCTCTGATGGTGGCCCTTTTTTGTACATAGCAGCCTAAAAACAAACCAACGAAAAAAAAAAGAAGACAAAACTTGAAACTGAAACAACTGTAATGGAGTATACATATCAGTCAGCCAGTTGCAAAACTCTAGTCTGGGTAAATTTTGACGTCAAAGTTAACGAGTGTGTTGCCCAAGCTGATAGGCTCCTGGGCCCCAGTCATTATAAAATGTAATTTCTGTTCTCACTCTTATTAAAATTCTTATTAGAGCGCATCCGTTTCAAATATAGCTTTTTTTTTCATTTTCGATTTCTCATTTCAGTCATCCACCATTACAAGATTATGTTCCTGTCGAGATGTTTTATAAGAGTTTTGTCGAACTGTAAATTAACGTCAAAGACTACTAGATTAATTTTGCAATGAGTGAACCTGGTTAATTAAGTATGCAGCACGGAACTTTTGTGCTCTTAACCGAAATTAATTGCCGTTCTGCATACTAAATCGGCCATTACACTTTGACGTCACCTGCTCCCTCAATCCAGCGCACCTGGTGCAGCTCGACTGAAACATAATCTGGTGAAGGCGGACAGTTACAACTTGAGAAATCGATGCGAGAAAAAAAATTACGTTCATTTATTAGATTGAGTCGCAATAGCAGATAGATGGCTGTTTTTTATAATGAAATATAGAGAATAAAAACGACAATCGTCAAGTAATAATCAAGTGATAACAAGAACGATATTTCTTTCTCAACGCAGTAGAACATCAAGGTTCATATTAGTCGAATGCCAAACCTTTCATAAAAGTTGGAACATTAGTTTTGGCCATGTTTTTCAAGTTTGCAAGTAGTTAATGTGTCCAAATCGTCTGCTGTTTCGAGTATCAAGAGAGTCTCTTTTACAGCTTTTTCTTTAATTATAAACTCGGTGTTAAAAATACAAGAAACTGCGTGACTTAGTCTGTCATGTAATGTGATCCCAATATTGAACTTGACATCATTAGCAAGAGGTCTAATAAAGTATTTTTGTTCGCATTTCTTGCTAATTATTCTCCTAAAAGGTGTTGGTCTACCTGTGCACCACGTAACTGCTAGAAGACAAGGTGTACGGCCCCACAATAAAGCTCCAAAATCAATATCATACCTCAAGTTTATCGACAGAGAAAGCTTACCTTCCTTAAGAGAAACTGTTCCAGTGGAGTTTTCTTCTTGACAAATTTAGGAACCAATTTAAATTGTGCTTGAGCCTCAACTGTACTTCCTAAAATGCCTATTGTGACTAAATGATAAAAAAAGAAATGCCGCCATTTATACAAATACAATCAACTTCTGTTCTTATGCAGTACATACTGGGGCCTCATGAGAACTGGTATAATAGTATAATTAAAACTTGGGCTCAGCAGAAAAAGAGAAGCTATTGGAGAGAGAGTGAGTAAACTGTGATAAACATTTCATTACTTTCTTGCCTCAGGGGGGCATCCAATAGACAACACTGCTACATGTACATGTACCACCACATACACAATGGTTATTTTTTCTACAGTTAGGATGTGAACAACAATTACTTTGTATAATGAAAATAATGAAAGTTGCAAAGAGAAACATATGTGGTGATTTAAAACCAGGATTTAATTTTTCAAAAGTAAAAAAAACCCACAACAGAAGAAGAGCTGTGGGCAATGGACCACAGAGGGAACTGATCCAAAGATGCACCAATCGCAGCCATGGAATTCCATTCAATCACAGCTGAGCGGTACAGCATATTAGTGACGCTTGCTCAATTGACCTCATCACCTGAGGAGGACTAGCAGTTTGCAGTCAAAACGTCACAATCCACATCCCATGTGACCGAAGTGAGACAAACGATATATTTCTTTTGAAATTGGTATTTACCACAATGACAAGCCACAACCTATTACACAATATGATTTACATGATCATCAATTTACCTCCACAGAGATAAGCATAGTAACTTTGCGACCACTTGGATTCTTCTTTCAATCTATAATTTAAAAAGATCACAACTGACCATTAAACACTTAAGACTGGTTTACTCCAGTTGCACTCATAAATGAATTGGTGACTTGGTATTGTGTTGTCTCAAGAACATTGAATAATTCATGGTTGAAAAGAATGCAGCCTTAACCTTTAACTTTTACTTAACTTTTAACATCAGTATGCATATTCTCCATACTGTTCTCTATACACATCCTAAGATGTTGACAATGAGAATTTGTTTAAAAAGCAACAGCTTCTTCAGGCAGTGATCATCTCCTTTACTCCTGTTACAAAACCTCAAGGTGTGATTCAAGGGTGGTACTGTAGGTCACTCTTAGGCATCAAAGGATTCAATATGGATAAACAGAGTTGCTCTACAACAATTCTGTTTTTGCGAGCTACTTGGCACAAAGGACATTCTTTTTCCCAATGAAATAAATAAAAGATGGTACAAACAAACAAACAAAAAAAGTACCTAAGAAATGCTGGGAGAGCATATTCCCACTCAAGCCTTAACATGTGACACCAACCTAAACGAGGAAGACAAGTTTTGGATTAAATGTAACATCATGTAAAGTAATCAACTGGCTAACTTGAATTATAGGAAATTAAGTAAGCATAAGGAACTGCTCCTGCCTTTAAACCAAGTGATCAGATTATCATGTATATAAACCTGAGGAGAGCACAAGAAAACATCACACCAGCATGTATCACAGACAAAGAGTTTCAAGTCAATTTTTGAAATGGTTCAAGTATGTTTTAAGTATTCAAGTTGGAATACTAGTATAATAATTCTAGGAAAATTTTCCAAATAATTACCTATTTCATATTGACATATAAGAGCTATTTCTTGCTGTCCTGCAGCAGAGTGCATGGCTTGATGAAATTCATCCAATGCTACACCAATGTGACCCTGTTTAGCGATAAACAGCTGTATTAGCTCTACATACATACTCCACTGATTTAGTCCAGTTAACAGCTTTTTTTTTGAGGCCTGATGACCAGTTATTTCTGTATTGTAATGGTATAAACAACTGAAATTGTTTTCATGGCACAAAAGCAAGAAGCCAGGATCTTTAATTCCTTTGCATTCCTTTTCTTCCATTGATGTTATCTTGTATACAGCATACACAAATAAAATTAAATCAACAAAAAATTTTTTCCACTCTACTCTAGTAGGTGAGATTGTTTTTACAAGAAAACACATCATTTTGAATCAGAAACAAGTCAATTGTGCTCAAATTAAACCCATGATTTTTTGTATCTAACCTTCAATCTGGATACAAGCCCTTTGAAGAACAAAAAAACAGCTGAGCAAGGGTATTCATGGTAAGATTCTTCTAAGATAGAAGTCGCATTGGCTAAACCTTAAAAAATATCAAATTACAAGAACTTAAACATCATTTGTCAAGGAAAATTAATTAAACAGGTTAGGTCAATAGTGTTCAGATCAAGTTCCAAGTTATATTACACTTGGCACAATGGATTGTGCTTCTCCCCTCAGGCAAAAGGTCAAGGGATTGACTCCAAGCAGAGGCAAGTTTTTTTCCTTTGTCTTTCTTTTCCTTTTCTTCGCTGTTTTTGTTAACAAAAAGTATATGTTTTGTATCTCTTTTCATCCAGAACCTCACCTTTTCCTGAGCAGAAAATCAGCATTTGAGAAGTCTATTGCCAAGTCACAATGTTTGTCTATTCTTTTCCACTTTTGAAAAAATGGGTTGTTTCAATCATTCCAGACTACAGTTCATCCATACTGGATCAACAAAGTTTGAAAACAAGGCCTATAAATACTGAAATGTAAGATGGCTTGTCACCCTTGAAAAGTATATTTATCCAAGCGCCTTGTATTTGAAAGATCTTACTCAGTCTTTATTTCAAATGATCTTTTATCCATTAGTCAAATTTTTTGGTCTTAGATCCACCCTGTCAGTCAAATACACTTTACTTCTCAGCTAACTGTTGAAATTTTGACCAATTCTTAGCTATCAGTTGAGCCCCATGCAGGAAATGGAATTGAACAAGCTAAAGCCTTACATGCTAGCAGACTGACAAAAAGTTAACATGAGTTGAAAGAAGAGGTGGAAAGAAGGAGTAACTGAGTGATGGATAAAAGAAGTGAATTTTGGGTCATAACAACTCAGAAATTTCTTTCAGCTATTTTCTAAAACAGCATTTGCATGTGTAAGGCCACTATGAATGATGGGATTGTTCAAGGACAGACTCACGGACAAGATAACAATGAGTCTACCTCATCTTGGGCACTGTAGACTCTAAAACTGTTGGTAAAGCTGTATGTGATGATCCATTTTTCTGCTTAGGTGTTGGTTACATGGTGTGTATGCTAGGTACAGTTTAGTGGTAAGTCTACATTTCTAATTCATATCATTAAGTACAAAATGTAAGTTATACTAGTGTTGAGTTGGATTAGTTAACTATTTGTCTAGTTGATAAGCTAACAATACACACCCTCCTCATTTTTTCCTTCATCCAGAGCAACAAATGGTCTGATAACCGCATGATACCACAGTAAGGTAAGTCTAGGAGAATATGAATATCACAGCTTCAATTTACTTTATAGACTGAAGCATACTACTGGAAGAGTAAAACCATACAAGTAAGCAAGTGAGGAATGACTTCTTACAAACTGAAAACTATTGAAAGCTCTTTGGAAGGTTCTTTGCTTTAATAATACTCAAAAAGACTTGGTGAAAATTTTAGCCAAGAACCCTGGAAAAAAGTGTAAAATTATTTTTGTCACAATGACCTTGACTATTGAAGATCTAAAGAGATCTCCAAGGGTGGATCTTCCCACAAACCTTGAACAGGTTTGAGAACACTCTAAATCCTTCACACTTGTGCAGATTTTACGAAAATACTCATACAGGAAGATACTTAGTGTATATTTGAAGGACCTTCACAATTTTCTAGCAAAGTTATGAAATCTTTATATTACTTGAACTAACCTTGCCACTGGAGCTTTCATATCTTCACTCTGACTTGCCAAGTTCAATGCTTGAATTCCAATTTCTCTGTTTCCAGAAAAGCCAAGAAGATGACAGAATTTTAACAGCTTGGGTGGCACTAGAGATATTGCCAAATGAAACAGCCCATAACCACAGGATACTGCAGCCTGAAGGTGCCTTAATGCCTCAGGACTGACTGCTGCAGCTGAGAGCTTGACTGTTTCTTCATTTATGGTTAGATTGTCCAGGGGAGACACCACATCCTCAGGGTCCAAGGGTGATACCACACAAGTTTCTACAGACTACAGTGTTGGGGACAATACCAATTTAGTAACAACTCCGGTACTGTAGAATACTGTGTGATAACATCTTTATGTGTAATCATGCTTCACTGCTTGCACCACTATTATGGACAAATCAACCCATTAACTCTCAGGAATGATCAACATGTAACTTCTCCCTATGATGTCAATATAATATCCAGCAAACAGGCAATAAGAATATTCAAACTTATCAGGCAGAAGCCGTTACCTTGATGTAACACTTAATTTACAATTAACTTATTTACAAGGAAATGTGCAGCTCCTAGAGGGGAGAAGTAACAATCAGATCTTGGGAGTTAAAGGGTGTGAACAAGAGTCTACTTTGGGAGAATGGTACTGCTCACAGCCCATTGAATGCTTGAAAGGAAATAACAAACTGTGCACTGAGTAAGCAGTCTATTACAGCTAGTGAGTCCACTGGTAACCATTAACAAGGACATTCCTGACCAGAAAAGATCAGAGCTACTGAGAAAGAAAAACCATAACATTGTGCCTTGCTACAAAAACTACCAGCTCAAAAAATGCACATTCATTTGAATACTATTAATAAGTGTGCTGAATGATTACACATGTCTACATATACACATAGTTACCTCATCAATAGCCTCTTCAACATCATCAAGGCCAGATGAAATAGCACCATTTGTATTACACCTTAGCTCAGGGGCCCATGCCAAGAATGGTCCACCAATAGCACTTATCTCACGGTAGCATTTATCATAGAGCTTCCATGCACGTCGCATCAGATATCCACCCTTGATATAATCAGTGATGCCTGTAATGGTGAATAAACCATAACAAAATGTTACTTCTACCATATTATAAAAAGCAATGGCTCAGAGTGTTAGTTTTACCTTGTTTTAGGAATGTCAGAAGAGCCATGTAGAGCTCACAATCAGCATACAAGATCTGCCTCATCAGCTGTTCATCAAGCCCCATTCCTGTACCCTTCCTGATGTTCTCTACACAGCAAACCCTCTGAGCTCTTTTAAGGTTCTCAAGAGCCCTGTCAAGCTGATCATCCTCAAATGTAAGGATTGCTTGCTGCAATGAAAAAAAACTCAAAAGTAGACAATCAACAAAGATTTTGACAAGAAAATTCTTCAAAATACAGTACATGTAGTTATTGATATAGAAATATGACAAATTGTGTACTAAGTCACTGAAAACAGAAAAAAAATAATTGAATTGTCACAGGGGTGGGATGAAGAATGCACAATCAAACATCAGATCCTCAGATATTACAGTCCAATGTTCTTCCACTATCAGGCAGAGCTACAGATAATTTCCAGTGAGATAGGCCATTTACCGCAGGGTTCCTATGTGTAAACACTGCTTAGAATCAGAACTGCTGACCCTGGAAATATGCATGACAATTATATCATGGAAATTTACTTATCTTGTTTGGAACAAATTACATACTGAAGAAGGCAAGCACTGGACAGGTATAACTTACCACAAAGTCTACCATGCCTGAACCAGCACTCATTAGTGGAGAGCCATCACTTTAAAAAGAAAAGAAGAGGCAGATGTTGATGAAAAAAATTTTAAATCACATGTACACTGTACAGAGTATACAGCATACAATGTATCTACCAGTAAAACAAAGCTAAATTCCAATGACAGCACCATTACCTATAGTACATGTATACAAAATTTTATGTACCAGCTTACTTTATTTCCATATCAAAACAAATGCAAAAAAAAAACTTTAAAATCATCTCCACACTTAAAAGTAACAATTGGATCATGTAATTACTTGTAGAAAAATACACCTTGTGATTCTTTTAAATTTGTCAATTGTCCTTTTGACCTCAAGACAAATTCTATAAAAATTAAATCCACCTCTCCACAACCTAGAAAAATAACTTGTCTGGGCCATGATGCATTCAAATTGTTGTTGTTATTCTAACCCTCCCTGAAAAAGTACATTCTTGAAAGTATCTGCTTCACTAAGCTACAAAACCAAAACTACCTGACAAATTTATTATGAGAAGTGACTGTTGATCATGAGACAGATGCTTGCTTTACTAAGTGATGATGGATTCATGTAGACACAAATTTCAAATACTTTGAGAGTAATTTGCCGAACAGAAGTTGTTTGTTGTCAAGTTTGATTTCTACATCACTTACTGCAACATCACAGGCTTAATGTTACTCAAACTCTAATTGCAGCTTACTTTTGCTAGTCCTTAATACCGGTTTACCCATTTTCATGTATAACTGCACATTTTCAATGCATTGTACCGTCAAAATGTTTATACAGAAATAGTTATGCTAATGAGCATTGAATTATTTCATAAACTAACAATGACTTGCCTCCATAACTTTAAACAACTGTAGGAATTTAAGGAATTCATAACTTTTAGCCCCTTAGAAGTTATAACAGCATTACTTCCTCAAAATTAAGTTTCAGATAACATCCAAGCACATCATGTTTCCCTGTTGACCCTTCAGTTTGCAACATATTATGAGCATAGCTTTTCTTTATTAGCTGCCCTTCATTTCCATAGATGTCACTCAAAAGAATTTCATGTTATTTCCAGAAAAAAAGCATCTGATTAAAAAGTTTGTATATTCTCACTGGATAATATATTGAAAATAAAATAATTTAATATTAATAATTTCTGGGAGTTATAGAAATAATTAATTACTGAAAACAAAATATTTGCTTCTACTGCTGACATATCAATTCAGGCTACAAAAAGATATTGCAAATAACATCAAATTCAATTAAGTTGTCAAAACCATGGCAGGCAAAACAAACACTGGACATTTTATTGTGATGATTAGCAAACACAGTAACTTTCAGACCTTAGATTAATCAGACTTTTCACAAAATTCTTGAATTTGATCGGTTATCACCAGCACATCTTCTGGTTTTAGGACATTGTATATGTTATAGTTGTAACTAGACTGTATGCGTGTGATTGGTCACTATTCATCATGTGCACGTACTATTGTTCTGTATTTCCTTGAGTTAACTGTTGTTGTTGTTTTTTTTAATGGAAACATAATTTACTATGACAAGGTTGCAAAACAAAACAGCCACCAGTTTTATATCATAATTATGGCTGTTTTGTTTTTCAAATTAATTGGCAACATGACTTTCTGTTGTCTAACTTGGTCTCTTCAATCATACAAATGTGAATCACTTGCATGATTAACAACCAAATTGGACTCAACTCAGTCAAATTGCCAGTACTAACTAACATGTCGTCACTTTCAGTGTCACTGATGGTAACTACATGGTGTATACAGCTGAGTTATTCAATGTTGGTAAAGTTTCTTAGCTGTACTTTGTGTTTCTATGAATCACTAAATACACAAGAAGACTTATCTTACACTAACTTCAATGCAATCTTGTTTGTTAAACTTTGAATATTTTATGACATTGATCCTCACCCAAAAATAGCCAAATAATTATAACAAGCAAGAAATACCTAACAAGAGTATAGACAGGCTGATTTATGTGCTTGCACACAAATTACTTTAATTTCATTCTAGAAAGTATTTGGTATAAAAAGAAGGGTCATGGAGGATAATTAATTTGTGTAATCAAGATCTAAACACAGTCACATGAAGTGCTAATGTTTTGCTCAAAAAAATTGTATGGTTGAAGTCTTTAATAATTTTGAACCATTTAAGTAAAATGAAACATCCTTAACAAAAAGCTGCACAAAGTAAACTTTCTGAGAACATAAGAGAATTTTAACTTCACCAGTAGGCAAATGCATTTTATTGAATATGCTGTTTTGAATCTAATTAAGCTAAAAAAAAGAATTCACATTATTGAGCAAATAAAATTTCCCTTCTTCAAGCCTGTTAATAAATCGTTAACTTATCTCAATTCAAATATCTGACAGGTTATGAACTCACATGATTGGTGACATAATGTAAATTCGAGGCAGCTCTCTAAAATGTAAAGTTTCTTTCGGATCACAAATGCGTAGGCATAAAAAAGAAGGATCATTCATGAATTTTTTATGTACTAACCCGAAAACAACCATTTCTTGTTCGACTTCCCACAAGACGAGGTTACAAAATGTGATAAAAAATCCCCGCTGTTCGATGTTTAGACTCTACTTGTCAAAATTATAGATAAAACTTTTCGTATCGAGGAAACGCTTACTTTCACCTTTCATGCAAATCAGTTGTAAATATATCATTCAATAAGTCCTTCAAGTCTATACGATGACCAACACGAGCTTGCGGTAAACGCTAATTTACGTTAGCATAGGTTTTCAGAAAAGAAGAAATTGCCATCAAATTTTTATCCTCACCCTAATTTCCACCCCAAGAAAAATGAGCCCATAGCTAAAGGCCAAGCCCACCACGGAAGATAAGAAACAGTGTTCTAGCAACTACCAGAATAAATATTATGCGTAAAAAAACAAGCCACCGGTTCTTGCAGGTAAAATCAGCATAAAACAGAGGTTGAAAATTAAAAAAACATTCTTCGCTCAGAGAGACTTCATCGGTGCGAGATTTTGTAAAAACAAAATACATAATACACGAGAATTATTCGGAACAAAACCCTATTCAACACGTCTTAACGATGAAATTTTACCTGTGACTTCGAAAGAGCTTTTGTGATTCTTCAAAACCATTGTTCAACAATAAATTTATCCCATCCCTAGCCAGACCATGATATTTCCAGAACGCCGATGGGGTATTTGAGCTTGTATCTTTGCACTCATCCCTGGAGGGATTCATAAGGTCAGCAGTGTTGTGGTTATTTCGATAAATGCATGTGGCCCTAGTCAGGGATTCACCGGGAATCTCCACGTATCTCGCGCCATGTTTTGATTTTGCAGGATTTAGCTGAGGGAGAAGCCAAGAAGTGCCAGGCGTCATTTGATTGGCTTATCCACTCGCTCGAGTGATTCCGGAATCTACCGAGCATTTTCCGGAAGATATCACGAAAACCATAGAAGTATTATGGTATATTTACCGGTTGAAATTTTCAAGATGGCCTCTGTCGGACCAAGGCTAGGAAGGGAACTGTCTTTCACGGGTAGGATTTGGAAAGCTTTCCATGAGTGGTATATCTATGCTTGTGGTTACAGACAACTTGGTAAGTTTCCCTGTAGAGGAACGAGCCACCTGATTGAAATCTGCGTGGTTTGAGTACTCTTTGATGGTTCATTTTTCTCTATCATAGTATTGTGCCGCTGCACTTTCCTCGGCCGTGCCATGCTACGTTTACCGTGGAGACCGTGGCGATAGTTAATATTCAAAATCAACGAAAACACATTGGCTATAAAATTATATATTTCCTCTTCCATTTTATGCCAATTTCTTAGCCGTAGGCTTATCTAAATCCGTTTTCATGTATATTCTTGGATCATGTTACATACCCAATATTTACAAAGTCAAGCGATGTTTAACTGTTCGTGCAAGCTTATGCATCCTTAAGGTAAAAATTATGAAATGCAGCGGTAATGAGCCATGGGCAATCTTGTCTTATAACATTAATGTAAGTCCTAACCTCCTATGATCTTAGGCCATGGGGTAGGTTGAAAAGTTAGCCTGTCATTTTATCCTATTTTCCTGTCGTCAAATTTTATCGGAACTTGATTTGACTATTGATCATGTTTGATAATTCGATCATAGATCGATAATTTTTTCAAGTTTTTTCTTTTAAATTAAATGTGTGAGTCAAATTCTGGCACCAAATATATTTTTCACATTTGTGGTAAATTCATTGATTATGTTTGATAATTCGACCAAATTGATAATTTTTCACTAATCTGTGAGTCATGGTTGATGACCAAAATGGTGGCATATATTTTTCACTTGCCATGGTGACCAAAATGGTGGCGGCTTGGAGTGTTGTAAGCTGAATCTCACACACGTTTTGATTGATTCCTACTTATGATTTATTGGAAGACAGATCTATGGATGATATCACCACAAACAACATATCATTTTTTTATCATATAAAACATTAGATTCCTCAGTAATGGATCACAGAAGATGTTAAGATGTGGAAAGAACATCAGTGATGCACTTAGTATGGCTAAACTTAATGATTTTAGTTCATGTAACAGGGCTAATCAGTGGTCATACAAACCAAAACACAAAAGCGTGTTCATTATGTTCTGCTTAGATATGGAGAGGAACATAAGTTTGGTAGCCTTACTGCATTTCCAGTTGGATACAAGGATGAGCATGAATTCTTAAAATAATGTTGTTAAGTATTTGGTTTTTTGTGATAATGGAGCACAACCATTGTTTTGTGGAAGATCAAAAGGAGTTTGTGACAAAGCAATCTCAAAGTTGGTAAATTTGATTCTGTAATACACTTGGCTGTCCAACTTAGCCATTAAAGTACACAAACTTCCAATAAACTGGGTGAAGTCCTAAGGAATTTGCGGGCAAATTGTCTAGATACCATAGATACGATTGAAGTAGAGCATAAACTCTTGCTGTAAAGTAGAATTTCCATGTCTGCCAGCCAAATTTATGTGCCACCAATTTTAAGTGCCAGTAATGTATAAATATAATGTCTGCAGGAGTCTGGTGTTCTCTTTAAGTATCTAAGTGGGGGAATACACCAGAGAAAGGCTAGGCAGGGATTTATAGTATGTGTAAGTAGAAGATACAAGACTGCCCTTTGTCTAAATGACAATACATCTTCAGTTTGTTTGCTAATGGCAAATTCAATGCTATTTTTAGGTCTTCGCAGGGGTGACTTGCTGAATGAGGATGACCCTGATGTGAAAGAAGCTGTAAAACGTCTTTCCCCTGAAGATTTCAACCTGAGACAGTTCCGTATAAAGAGAGCTCTTGATTTGACAATGAAACATAGCATTCTACCCAAAGAGCACTGGACAACAAGTGAAGAGGTTTGTTTGTGCTTATTTGAATTATTTGATCCTTTTGTTGTGATATGAACATAAGAATGTATACCTGTATATGTGAGTTGCTACACATAGTAGTTTCCAGTCCAAGGTGTATTTTCCAAGTTACCATTAACCACCACTATCTGTATTACCAGAAATGGTGGAGAGGAGCTGTGAAAGTAAAGCATCTTCTAGTGCCTTCGATAAGATTTGAAGTAGGCAGTTACCTCAGTAAAGCACCTGCTGGAGAATGATATGAAAAACATTTCACACAGCTGCAGATTGCTTTACGAAAAATAACAAAAAGTTGGCTAACTAGTAACCATAAGAACATGATCTTCTTGGCTTTTCACAGTTAATACTGCTTTTTTATTGATGTAAGGTTAGATGATTAGGGCTAGTTATGTACACAAGGTCTAACCCAAAGCACAGTTTTACCCAGTCAGTGGGCCTCAGGCTTTCTCTGTAAGTGGGTTGATTTAATGAAATAAATATCCCTCCACTATTATCTTTTTGCCTTCTTGATGCTGTTCACAGAAATAAATGTTAAGATAAAAGGTTCAGCTAAATTGAGAATTGTTTAGGAGGTGGTTTTGTTAAACAACAGCTAAACTTTGTCTAAATAGTTGGACGTGAGTGTTCAGAGGCTGTTATCATTTCTCTCTTTGTAGTTAAGCCACAGTTAAGTGTTTTTGATGCAAACCTGCGTAACATCTTTTCAAAAATGTAGGCGTGTGAATGACAAGCACTCTATTTTATCAATTTTGATTTTCAAGTTTGTTTTCTCACTAACAGGTGAGAAGAACAGTTGTTGGTTTATTTGTTAAAAAATATTTTCAAGATGACTTTAGTTCAGCACAAAGGTTTTTAAGTTATTTTAGTAACCAATGATGCATACTTCTTCTTTCCATATGTTTAATATGATGAGTAGCACAATCACCATGCCCATAGGGGGTTGACTGCAAACTTTCAATGATTTCTTCTGTTTTACATTTTCATTGAAGCCAAATCTTTGCTTACAGGTAAAGTTGTTCTTACTGATTATAGTAAAAGCAAAAAATCAGAAAACCACATTGCTGTCTTTGAGAAAATACCCGTGAAAGATGAAAAATGGAGCCAATTTTGGTTGTAACGCGTAACACAATCTCAGTGGTAAAATTTTTTAAATACATTTTTCACTGAAAGAAAGCTCGTTTGAGCAAACAAATTACACCTGATGACAACACACAATAAACACTACATTTGAGCAAAACTTTGACATTTCAAGTTTATTAAAACGCATAGAAAAGATTTATCATTCTTAAGTATCCTTTGTGTAACGCTGGGTTTCAGAATTTGGAAGTACACCAAGTTGTTGTTCGCAGAATGACTGAACTGGAATCCTGTGGGAACAAAAACACTTTAACCAAATGCTCATACTTGGTGTTCTAAAATACCGAAAAATCAGTCTAAAGGATTGACTATAAACGGAGAAATATCAGTGTAAAACAGTCGCTACGGTTTTGTAAAACCTGATTACGCAATAATATTTTTCATCAACTTACCTGCTCCTTCGCTACTATACTTCAAACACGGCAAAGTCGGGTTTCGAAATCGATTACACTTCAATGCTCATAAGTTTCTCTTGTCATTTCCAAGTTTTCGGGTCCATATCTTTAGAAACGGCCAAAATATTCACTTTTGACCGAGTCGCTACGCTTTTTACCATGTTGACGCCATATTGAGAACGGAGTCTCGCCACAAATGCCACCAAAAGCGCTATGTCGGGAGTCTTCAAGCTCAATAATTTTTCTGAGATTTAGCCATCCGTAAATATCGCTTCAAGTGCGCTTGACAAGAGGTATGGTTAACAAAAAGGAAGAAAAGCTTGCGAGGATCAAAGAGTGGAGGAGGAAAAAGCAGGAAAAGAATAGGCTAAGGAATCTAAAATATGATGAAAAGAATCCCAAAAAGAGAGCTGAATTTCCAATAGAAAAATGGTGATGTGATCTTCAAGTTGTAAAAAGAGGCAGAAAGTCAGTTTTTAGAGTGCCAGTTGATCTTACTAGGGAGATACTAGCCTCCATGTAATACAAAATGTTATTATTTCTACTTTTTTACTGTGTCAGTGAACTCGATATTGATTATTTGTGAAAAAGACCACACCCACAAGGGATTATGGGTAAATACAAATTTGAATCAAATGTGACAAAAATAAAATAGTTTGAAATAAATCAGTTGTAATAGTAAATGTGAATTTAAAACAGACCTAAAGAAGTGATTTTGTCCCAAACTAGCAATTTTCACATTTTCCATACATGTTACAGAAGTGGGTATGGTGATTGTGCTACTCATCTATATGTAGAACACTTAAAAAAAGCAGAAAAAGTAAACTGCCAGTGTAAGAATGACTTTAGTAACAAAGACCACAGAATTTGCAAAATAAATAAGCTGAATACTCCAATACTACATTGACTACAATTTTGTATGTTATTTTCTGAAAATTTCACTTCAGTGTGGCAAAGTATACCTGTGGAAGGAAAATTTTTTGGGATAAAAATGGTTAATACACCTAGAATGTTCAGTATTACTAATTCATTTTGTTACATCTCTTATAGGACACAATGTATATTCAACCTCTCATTGACCAGGTCAAGAAGGAGCGCATTGAAAGAGAAATGTGGGACCACAAGTGAACATCATCAGTGTGTTTGTGTGCAACCTTGAAGGGATTGTTAATTCCTCCACAAATGTGGAAATTTTGTAGCTTTCAAACAAATTGTGTTCGGGTTTAACTTGTAAGGGAAATGTGAAGAAGATTGTCATAATTTGATTTACATCACCTGTAATAAAGAATGAATACTACTTTTAACACCACCTATTCATATTTTGTGCTGCATTTGCTTGGAAATTTTACGGGGTTCATTTAGGTTTTGAAATTGTTTTTCTTGATATAAATGTACTGATTGAGTGAAACAAAAATACAGTCTAACAGATTATAATTATCCTTTATAACAAAGAGGGCAAAAATACTGAATGCTGATTGACTGAGACAGAGGGCTTTTTTCCTTAATTTTGGTAATTACCCTCAGCAAATTTCCTTGAAATTGAATACATTAATACAGGATTAACTTTATCTAAAGTATTTTAAATTCATTGATGGCTAATGTTTTTTAGCAGGGCTGGTCTCACTGCTTTTGCAGTTTGGTACAAAAATAATCATTCATTCAGCTGACTCGTGTGTTTTACAGTTCATTGATGCCAACTAAATACTGAATGGCTTTCCATGAAATTGCACAACAACGTGCCTTTCCAAATTCTTAATCAATAATGGTAATAGGACTGAGTGGAGTCCAATTCAGTCAGTAATCATATGAGTGATTGACAAAATTGAATGACTGTGAAGCAGGAGTCCGATTTGTCAATCAAGAGTGTGATTACTGACAGAATTGGGCAACACAAAGTCCTGTTACCAATTAATCATAACTGTTACATTTTCCAAAAACAAAAAATATGTTTAGGACAAACATGTGCAGTAGAGACAATGTCTAAGGAAAAAATTCCCCAACTTTGAAAATTCCACAACATTTTTAGGATGTGGTTGTTGCTATGGTTATTGTGATCAATTCTGTGATTGGTGGATTTGACAGAAAGGACTAAATATGATTGACTTCTTTAACTGTCCGATTACAGGTGTCCGATTACAACCAACTGTCCAATTACACTGTCTGATTACAACTCTACAGAATAATTTGTGAAAAACAAAGCAGCTACTACTGACACCAATCACATTTGAGGAAATTGTAATGGTTGTGATTAAAGAAAATTTTGCCCTTGATGTTGTAAACAAGTTATCACTAAATAAAAGGATTAATATGCCCAATTTGGGCAAATTCTGCAACTTCTGAAAACACCTGATGCTTATCCTTAGTTTTGGTTAGCCTCACACAATTACCTATGCTTATGGTATTGACAACTTACTCATCTTTTGTGGTGAGGTATAGGTGTTTAGTGTTGATTGGGCTGCAGAGAACAGGGTGTTGTCTTTAATCTTGAAATTCTTGGAAACTTTACTGCTGGAGTCAAATGACATCTTCTGTTTGTCAGGGTCATGTTTACAAAGGTATGAACAAAGCTTAACCACTAGCTGTTATGTTAGGGCATCACATTGAATACTTTTTTTTTTTTCCTTGTGATAAATCATGCATTTTCTTCAGTATTTTAACCCTTTCCACCATAACGTTGGTATGGATATTCTCCATACTGTTTCTTACACATTCTCTAAGGTGCTGATAAGGAGAATTTGCTTTATAATCCAGAGCTTCTCTATAGTTGATGACCATTTCCTTTAGTCTCATTACCTGAATGTTTGATTCAAGGGTGATGTTGTATGGAGAAATTAGATGCTGGTCACTGGTTGAAGGATCAAAAGTGAACTTATCAGTGCATCACTGGTTCATTCACCACCAAGGGAAGTTCCAGCATTGGTAATTATAACGATGTGCGAGACATGGGACTTGTCAACAAAGATTTATACCACCACTTCCCTCCCTTCCCCTTCTGCCTTACACCTGAGTTTAAAAACCCCTCTCAAATTTGGTTACTGATTTCTTCTCTGCCCCTGCCAAATGCCTTTACATCCATTCCTTTTTTTAAAAAAAGAAAAAAACAGTTTTAGTTCTAGAAGTCCATCTTTGGTAGATGACACTGGACTGTAAAACCACAGAAAAGAAAAAGATCATTAAAGTGGATTAATCAGTACTAAAACTGTATCACAAAAATGTCTCTTCTGTAATGTTTAATACATAATATTTAAAAAAATTAGTAACTCAGATAAAATAAAGCCATCTGATGTACAGTGCAACTTCCTGACCAGGGTGAGTGGAATTTATGTTATAACCTTCGAGGTATATCCTGACCTTGAATATTTGGATTTTGGGTTGCTTTGGTGTGAAAACAGCTTCAGAGTTTGATCTCAGTTTTGGTTTTTTTAAGGAACCCTTGATAGCATATTAACATGTCAATCTTTTGAATTTTCCAAATGAACATGAGAAATGTGGGAAAATGTATAAACTTGACTGGCACTAAGCTTCGTGAGGCTTCAGAAATAACAGCATTGCAGATCAAAACTCTAACACAACTGTAAGAAGTCATTTTTAAATGCATGTGTAGATTTTAAAGGCTAAGTCCATGAATGGTTTGGGAAAATGGAATATTGGGTTGAAATGGGGTCAGGATTTGCAGAACAACATGGCACAACCCTAATGAGAATTCCAGGGAGTTCAGTACTTTCACCCTACAGACTACCTCTATGCGATGCAGGTAACTATAAAAACAAATCTTTCTATGGTTGATAACATAATAGGCCAAACCTCACCATAAAAAAATCATTTTAAAGCTTGAAATAATTCCCTCTGACTGGAAATTGCATAAACAATCTTCTGATTAATCCTTCATCACATAAGTCAAACTGTATCTGGTAAATTTCGAAGTATCCTTTCTTTTGGGGGGGGAGACTGTGAAGCTCAAGATCATCATGTCTTTAGCTTTAAGTAACAGAGACATCATGCTTACAAAACCAAAATTCCCAAAATAAAAATGAATTACTGTATTTACAACAGAATGATGCATGGTTTCTTATCTGGCTCATTTTGAAATTCCTTATGACTTCAAGAAGAGTATTCAATTTACAATGTTCATAATAGCCTGTAAAACACAAACCCAATTAACCACCTCAAAAATGCACATTAACTATAAACTGCTGGGTCTTTCATTAAAAATATAAAACTTTGATTTTGTTGAACTGCATTTCAGGAGAACACATGCTAATCATATTGCTTTGGTCATGATGCCATGCTGTTTCATAGTCGGGGCTCCATCTTGGACTGGTCAACCAATCACCTAATGTGCAAAGGCTTTGAGCCCAAATGGTCAGCAACTACTTACAACTGTGGCAGTAAAAACTACTTTTTAAAGACAGACCACAAAATCATCAACATGTTGAGTTATGAAAGTTTCTTATCCAATTGAAACTTAGTGAAATAGAACAATTTAGCTGTTTTTCCAATCTTGTTCCACTATTAATTTTCACCTGATTGTCATTGTATCAGTTCATTACCAAGATATCACGTAATTAAAACTTATTGTTTTGTTCAACTTTGCACTTTGCAACTAACTGGACACTACCTGAAATCACCGTACAAGTCCCCTTTGACTGAATATTACTGGGAGATCAAGACAATTAAAATTATTTTCTTAGTAGAGAGCAATTGCACTTTTGTAATCCATGATTATCACTACTCAAATTTACTTATCAAAACAATTGTCATAACAAGCCTAAAAGAGCTGTGTGATGGTTTGTGGACTTAAAAAAAAAACAGATAACTTTTTCATGTGGTCATTTATAATTTAAGTCATCTCAGCCCACTAGCAAACTAACAAGGCTGTCTTGTATTAAAATGGGCCATCTATTACATCGCTAAAAATAATAATAAAAAAAAAAAACTCAAAACACCACAAAACAGCTCCTTTAATTACAGATAATTTTTCATTCCAGCAACTGTTAACAGCAGCCAGTCTTGTGTGGTTCAGCTGCTGGAATACTCTTGAATTCTTGAGAACTAGTTATTGTTGTACTGTTTGTTAAAGTCATTGTTTCCGGGTCCTTTGGAATGCTTTCAAAGTTATGAGCTTTTTCATTCTCAAGAATCTGTAAAAATGAAAAGAAAAAAACACTAATCTCAGCAAAAGATCACGTGTATGAAATTGAATTATCTTCGGAGTCAACTACAAGTGGGTAAATCCTTTACCTTCCTCAGTCTAATCAGTTAATTAACCTTCTGGCTCCTGTTCATTTTCTTCAAAAGAAATTTGAGTTGTAGAACAAGATACCACCCTACCTCTGATAAGTTTGTTTTTTTCTCCAAATGCGATCACTGTATAATTTATTAGCTTATCAGATGAGCTTTAAAATAATTTTCCATGTATACCTTTTGGACAAGGTATTTTGCAGCCTCAGAAATGTTGATGTCCTCTTTAGCTGATGTTTCAAACCAGTTGATAAAACCTTTGTCAGAACAATACTCATCCATTTGACTTGCGTTATTGACAAGTCCTTCCCTTGCTTGATCACACTGTCAAACAAACAAACAAGAAAGAAACATAAAAAATCACCCTCAGACATCAGAAGCTTCTCACAATAACACTCAAGAGTGACACATTTGCAGGGAAACAAGAAAAGAAGATTACATTGCAAAAGCCATAGTGAAAGCTTAACTGTGCACCACCATCTAACAGGTGGTAATTGTGTCAATCACTAGGAATTTTCAAAGAGGATTTATTGCTATTTAATTTGCAATGGTACATGTGCCAAACATAGTTCACAACAAGAAGAAAAAAACCTTGTTTGCCAAAAGTACAACAGGAATTGGAGATCCATTAGGAAGTAGAACTTTGTTGTCCAAATCATTCTTCCACTTTTGTACTGCTTCAAATGTAGATGCTCTTGTGACATCAAATACGAGGAAAGCTCCAACTGCTTCTTTGTAATAAACCTAAGGGGCAAAATAATGTTCCAAAAATATAACAAAAAAATCTATGAAAAAATCAGTAGAACCAGGCTGATAAAGCTTCAAGATACGGGGGAGTTCAAGTTAGCTGATAGAAAATTACTGGAGAATGTACTTCAACTTCACATTAGCAAGAAGTTTGGGTCTTACGCTTGTATTTCATTGGTCAGCATGAACATGTTGACAACCTCTTTGAAGAGGTGTAACAAGCCTGTAAAACTTCAGAGTAAAAAACTCAGGCTCTATTTTTGCATAGATTCATGGGTTACTTTTAAAATAATGTATTCCTCAAAAAGCGCATACACTCTAATAAAGTGCCCTCACCCCTACTCATGGCAAACTAGTGTGTAAACAAATAACAAAATAAAAAATATGTAGTTGTCAACAGAGACTAAATATTGCACCATGTTGTAGATTTGACTGTGGCTGTGTTTATAATAAAATTTGCTCTTGCACTCAAATGGCTTCTAATATTTGAAATGTGATGGTCAGTAAGTAAAAATCTTGGTATGTATGAAATAAAAACATCATACCATGGAAAGTGCTTGAATGATTTTTATTCTCCCATTGCAATGCATCGAAAAACTGACTCGTTCACTGCACTGTCACCCTTCTTCTTTTTTTGATGTATTGCTACTCATAAATAAAAATCATTTGTGCTCACCTCCCATGGAATAATCTCTATTTTTAGACACTTGATTTTTAACTTTTTAAGTTCACATTACAGCTGGTTAATAGTTTCTTGATAGGCACTTCCCTTCAACAAGTGCCACCTTCCAATAAGTGCTCCTCCTAAACCAAAATTTTAACTAGGCGCATGTGAACCTATCTAGGAAATAGGTATTAATTTTTTTGGATTCCACATTTTAAAAGCTGTAAGATGATATACAGAATTCAATGGTTTTATTAAAAGCAACCTGAATACAAATCATTTTCTGGAAGGCACCCCTGAAGGTCTATTGTAACCTTAAGGGGAACAGTAAATTGACAGTTGTCTCCTTGGATCAGCTACTTTGGCAACCCTTGCATTTGCAACTGGAGAGCACAAAATTAATGGCAAAGAAACTTACCCTTGTCATGTTACCAAATCTCTCTTGGCCTGTTCAAAGAGACACAAAAATTTCCACAACATTAAACATAATCAGAAAATATTACAAGGCTTAACCAAAGTTGCTTTCAATACTATGGTTGACTCTTTGCAAATGGTAGAATTTTTCAAATAGGGTTTAAAATACAGCTATTTAAAAATTGTTGAAATTGAAAGGCTTCTGTCTCCTAACCCTTTTCTTTAATTTCAAACACCTCTCCTTTGGTCTCTCACATGTGTAATTACAAAAATATTGTGACATATTTCTCCGGCACTTCCGTTCTAAGAACCTTTTTGTTGACTAGGGACACAGTAAATGTGTTAAAAAGAAGATCAAATATGATCAAAATTTCTGGGAGCCTCATCAGTGGACTATTTCTGAGGTACACCAGAGGAACTGATTTTTATAGGATTCAAGGAGGTCTGCTAATTTCAAATCCACCACTATAAACTATTCAGCCACATTGCTTTGCCCACTTCTAGAACACAATAGTATTAATCTACTACTGGCCTACCTGCAATATCCCATAGCTGTAAGCGTATTAGTGTATCTGAGTCCCAATTTATGACCTTGAGAGCAAAATCAACACCAATGTATTCAAAGTTAAAGTTCATAAGGTTATAGAGGTACCTGTCATGGGATAGTGTCTATAAAATGGAAAATGAGGTTTGATTAATGAGTCAGTCATTAGAAGCATTACAACAATTGGGATCGTTCTGTAAGTATAGTTTCTACACGTTGTTTGATATTTTAAGTTTAGTGACCTAAACTAGTGCAACTGTTATGAGGAATATTGTTTGTAACTGCTGTTGTGCTCGGTATCGTCAATATAACTGATGTATTAAAGGCAGTGCAAGGACATTTCGCTTTCAAGAAGATGTTAAAACACCAGCGAAGAAATGCAATGTAAACAAGGCACTAGCTTTGGGTGAAATGAACAGTCATTGCAGTATCACAACGATTTTGCAACAAATTGGAGTTGCATTTCCTTAAGATCTACTTTGAAGAAAGGATATTGTAGCTCTGTAGTGTACAGAGAAAAATTGATGTACATATCTCTTGATAATGCTGGTTTTTCCAACACCAAGATCCCCAATGACAAGCACTTTGAATAGATACTCCTTCTTCTCTCCCGAAGATTCCTAAGAAATATTTGGACACAAGAAATGAAAGTCACTCTTTAGCCAAGCTTCATACTGTTGTCGATCCTTTACAAAAAAGCTTTTTTTCTGAAGGGAAACAGTAATCGTACCATATTAAGCTAGTACAACTGCTGTAATTTCACAATAATCTAGATGTACTTCAGCTGAGCCACCATTTTGTCATGTGATTGTCAATGATAGGTTCTGCATTATGATTGGTTTTGGAGTTTCGCCCCAAAGCCTATAGCCGTTATAAGCTGTTTGTTTATTGGATAGTATAGATTCTACCGGTTCCAAGAATCCCACAGAAGAGAGGACGAAATTATCTTAAAATACATCTTACCTAATCGTTTCATTTCATAAGAATCATTATCTCAAGACCGTGAGTGAAAATCAGTGTTTAGAGAGGCGAGTCAGGAACCCAGGCGAACTGGAAGAGATCTGGGGATAATGATGTCTCTCTTTTCCTGACTCCCTGATCAGTTACATGGCTTAAGGTCATGGCCACTTTGAACGGTTCAAGATTGAGTATATTTGTTATGAATCTTAGAAATGAGGCTCCTCCTTTAAATTTCCAATTCCCACCTTGCTACCTCTTACGTTTAAAGTCGGAAGAGTTTTAGATTCTATCAAGTTTATAAATGATATAGTACAAATGTAAAGAATTTAAATGGAAAATGTCTTCAAAGATGCAGTTCCTATTTCCAGTTCTTTTCTCCTGGTCAGAAGTTTTATTGATGTGTAAGGTCTTTGGGAAAAAAATTTTTAAAGATAAAGTCGTACCTTGCGCGCTTACTTTCATACCTTTTAGCGCGCGCGAAACGTCAGAAAATACGTCACAAAGGTCTTAAGGCTTGCGTTTGGAAATTTTCCAGTTGTTTACTGGTAAGCTAGCCGTGAACACAGAGAAAATTTACGGACACAATTTGATCGCAATCAACGTTGAGTTTATTGATTCACTAACTCTGATCGAGCATGCCTAAGAGAACTTCACGCTTCTCAAAGAAGGCGAGGTCAGGTCAAGACAAAAACATGAATGAAAATCCGATTCGGAAATCGAGCAAAAACTCTAGAAAGCGGAAAGCGGGAACTGATTCCCTTGCAGAGAGTAAAAGGAAACAGACAGAGAAGGAGATCGAGGTAAGTTATAACAAGTAAGAGTAGTTGTTAACTTGTCAGGATTTTCTAATTGAAATGTATTGACACAATTAACAATTAGAAAATATCGTAGGATCAGCGGAGAAGAACTAATTGAATATGTTTGAGTTCTTGAAGTAACGCGCGGAAGCGCAGCTTGTGAAGTTGATTTCATCCTTGATTTTTTGTAGTCTTTTTCAGTAGTTTATCGGCGAGGGTAACAACTTAAAGAATCAAATTTCTCTTCTTTGTTTCTAAAGAATTTTCTGAAGATTCAACGATTCGTCTGCAGTCCTCAACTACCGAGGTAAATAAAAAATTGTCAACCTTTAAATTTAAATTTATGGAAACTCTTATTTTGTTATACGACTGAACAAAATCTCCAGCAATTTTATGAGAAAGTTTTAACAGCCTCAGCTGTTACATATAGATAGATAAATTTTAGTTTAATACAACTGCGTAGAAGTTCCAGAAGAGTCGTACCAATGTAGTTTCTACCTGCATTTGGTTCATTTTGCCAACGTAGCTTTCATTTTTCTCCGTGGCTTTGAGTACCTTCCTCGGAGAGCAAATGGAGAAACTTTCAAAGTCATGGAGCAGCTCCACATCATTTGAATCATTTAATGTTTTCTAAAGCATTGCTGCTCACCTCGGTGCTGTTTTTCAAGTCAGAAACTGGTTTCACTCCTAATAAAATCTTCCGTCCTTCGCAGTTATGTATTTTGGCTTAACCGCAAAGCATGTTTCACCGATTGGAAAGCGATTCTCATAGAAATGAAAGAAATGAATAAAAAAAAACAGTCAAAGGAAATTTTTCCACAGGAATTATGAAAATTGTGAGTGAAATGAACTACGAAACGTATACGCTTAGCAACTGGTTACCCAACGGCTCAGGTAAGTAAAGAATTTTATCACAGAATTATGTCTTTTATCTTCTTAGGGAAATATCCAATTGTTCAGGCATTGTGCCTCAGACTAGTTACTTGCAAAAGAGCAATGACTGCAAAGTTTCTTCAGACGTCTCAAATAAAGAGAGTTTACTTGAAGAAAAACATGGAAATGTAAATCCGATCGCAGATAAATCGGAACGATCCTCTAGAAAGCGGAAAGCAGTATGTGAACCCCTCGCTGCAAGAAAACGAACCGAAAACGAGAGCAGGGTAAGTAAATGTTTCACTGATTGAGTGTTCGAACTTTTGTTTTAATACTTATCAAAATGTCCAATCGGTAAAATGAACATTTTACTATCTAGCGTACTCGCTTAAAGGAGTGAAATAGCTATGGTAATCCAGCATTACCTTCTAATTAAAAGAAAATTGCTATGTGATCAGAAAGCGAGAGGTGAATATCAATCGTCGATTTCACACCAACTGAGAAAGCATATTTTTGCTTTCTTATTTTCTTACAGGCTTCCCTCGGAAAACAACAACAAGAAAGTCATGATAGCGGTTACAAGTTATTAAGGTAAATAACAAAATGATTTGTTGAAAATAGTATGTAATTCAACTGATGATTAACACTGTTGCTTCTTTTACCTTAACAGAAAAAGGTCGAGCTGTGCGGAAGCCAGGCGTCAGGGTAACGCACCGAAAGAAAACAATATCAGCGAAGAATTACCCGATTATGAGGCTTTTGAGGTAAAGAAGAAGAAAAAAGGTTGATAATTAAGCTTGCATTTAGCACTTTTATCCATTTCTAGATTTCATGTCAGAATGGCAAAAAAGTGTTCGATGCTGATGGTTATTACCTATCCATTTTCCCCTGATTGGGCGCCTAAAGCTACGATACAAATGCTTGTGTTCCGTTTGATTTTTGTAATTGAATCAGTTTTCAAGACAGTTGTGAGCAATTTTAGAACAAACTTTTTCAAAAATTGTCATGCCTAAGAAAGCACCAGTAGTTTTGTAGTCTATGAAGACCAGGATAAACGAAGACTCGGGTACCATAAAAAAGAGTATGACTTAAGGAAAGAGGACTTAAGATGGAGATCGATCTCGTTTGCAGAGTACACTTTGCTTTGCCTCGCATTTGGAAAATGCCTCTAAATAGGAGAAGGGTAACAAAGGCTTTAGAAGCGAGTCTTTCAATTTTAGCCCCTTCCCCCCCTAAAGGGAGGAAGGGAACATACTGCTTTATCAATTCATTAACCTTCTATAATTCACCGTATTTTAACAACACGAGACCATTTTTGTCCACAGACTTTTCCAGGACTTGAAGCATTTCTCTGTAGCTGTCATTACAATAACGTGTTTATGTTCTTAGGACCCTGATGAGCCCGACTGGTTGAAAGATTGTCATTCTCCATTATGGTCACCAAGTTATGAGCCAGACTACGGCAGTTATGTGGAAGAAGTTAAAAATACTGAACCTCCTGACTACATCAAGGAACTTGCCTCTTCTGATGGTATGTTCATTCCATTTTTCCCATTACTGAGATTAAATCCTTCCTTAAATCCTGAATAAACCTTTTTCTTGTGGAGGAAGAACATTCACAGGCACTTTCTCTCAATTTTTATGACGCCTACATCGGTCAGGAAAAAAAATGACGACTTGCCGTAATATGACAGCTCAGTGAAATGCAAATGCCAGTAAGAAACTGATGAAGGGCCACTCGTTCTCACCCTACCCTTACTGGAAAATTGTGCTAAAGCCGACGCGAGCTGTTGTTTAAATTCAGGCGACTGATTTCGTTTTAAAACGTTTTCTAAATAATGGTATATATGAAATGAATGGTTATCCCGTATCAATGTCCTTTTTTAATAGTTATAGCGGTGAAATTTTAAATACTTCTTTTTTATATTTATTAATTAATCGATTGCTCATTCAAATTTTCGCTTCCATTTTAGCTGATCTTGCGAAATACGAGATAGGAAAACTCCTTGGATCTGGTTCATTTGGCCAAGTAGTTGCTGCGACTCGCAAGTCGGATGATAAACCAGTATGTGTCTCATTTATCTGAGTATTGAATTTAAAGAGGAGTAAACTCATTCTTTAGATTTAGCTTTAGGCTGAAATGAGAAACAAATTGGTTTCAAGAAGAGCTCTAAATCTCAGAGCAAACGGTCGAGCTCAAAACCTAATGCAGATTTATTTCCTTGTGTTCTTTCCGAGACAGTTTACTTTTAACAAAGTTTCGCCTCTCTAACTCAGGACACGAATTGCAACTGGCAATTGGATAGAACCAAGCCGTCTTAGAAGGGAAAGAAGGAGGGGGAAGAAGTGTGGTTTCCAGGGAGCTGGTGGTTGGGGCTTTGGCGTGTATGCATTAGGTATCTAACAACACATAAATCCTTTTTCATAGGTGGCGCTTAAGTTTGTAAAGAAGAGCTCTGTGCAAGAATTTAAAAAGGTTAGTACAAGTTTAAGTTTATGTAAGTGGAGATGCTATCCTCTGTATTTGTAGCTTGGTTTATGCCACTAAACAACGTGGATCAGAGAAATAACCATGACAATATCAATCTTATTGTGTAGTGTCTGGGGGAGAACTTCAGCGGCCATGAACGTCATCCGAGAGATAATTTTGAAACGGAAAAATTAAAATGATTCAAGACCTGAAATCACTTTGCATTCTGTGTTTGATACAAGCAGGTTGGGATTGATTGGAAATATTTGAGCAAATTTAATATTGAATTGCAGTGATTTAAATCATCGTTCGCCTGTCTTGTTTTTATAGAGCTGTTTATTTCTTATGTGAATTTTTTCTTCCCCTTAATCAGTCAAGGTGCGTTCATAAAAATATTCATCTCGGCTGCGGACCGTCACGGATGCCAATACATTCCCGAAAAATGCGATCGGAATATTGATTTGTCTCAAGAGTTTATGACAGTTTATAAACAGTATGTCAGTTTGTCTCTGATGGCGCTGCATCAAAATATATCACAGTTGCTTACTCCAAAATATCAGCGGACTCCTGTTGTCGTTTAGTTTGTAACTGAAACGTATTAAAAGCAAGATTAAATTGTGTTAACAGTCTTATCCTTTCTCCCCTCCCTTGTTACAGCTGAGTGGAAGAGAAATCCCGGCGGAGGCTTATCTGATGAGTCGAGTGCGTCACCCAAACGTCATCCAAATCTACCAACTCATCTTTACAGAAGAACATTACTGTTATGTTATGGAACGACCAGAATCCTGCAAAGACTTTTTTGAATTCATACAGGACCGTAACTCCGCAGGAAACCCATTGTCAGAAGATGAAGTGAGACAATACTTCACTCAGATCTTGGAAGCTAACATCAAATGCGAAGAAAAAGGTGTTGTACACCGCGACCTCAAGCCTGAAAATATCTTGCTGGATTTGACAAATGATGAAGTGAAGTTGATTGACTTTGGGTTGGCATCTGAGATACAAGAAGAGCCTTTTGAAAGCTTTAGAGGTAAGAACTGTTCCGTAACAGAAATCTGTTTTGAGTGATCTCAACTCCCCATAACGTAGATTAATCAGGCATCCAAACATCTAAGATCCCAGAAAGAAGGCCAGCCCAGTTGACAGATCTTGTACCAAAACGACCCTTCAGTCTTTGAACCCAACCCCTTTATTTTTAGTATCTCATTTTTTTATTGCTGATATTCGTAGTCTCGATTTCGCATCTCATAACATTACATAATGTTCCAATTAAATCATACATTGCATCACGCCACGTGACAGAAGTGGAGGCCAGGAATATGGACCATGTAGGAGTACGGGTAGAACCTCCACAATTTTATATTTATATTTGATATCTAATTAGCTATCAATAATTTTCCTTTAGGTACGAATCAATACATGCCCCCTGAATTCATGAAAACAAGTAAATATGACGGTTGCGAGGCAACTGTATGGGCGATGGGAATCCTCTTGGTCGATATGTTGTCACCCGTTATTTCTGCATTTGAAAAACCACAACATTGCCTAAGCATGGAGCCCAGAATACCTCAACACTTTTCATCAGGTGTGTATTAGTTTGGTTTAAATGTACACTTAAAATCGCTTTCTTCAACTGTTCAGTATCATAACGAGCACTTAGTGGAATTAAAAATCTTCGGAAATTCTGGTGTGATGGTCGGACATCTTCGCCCTCAATTATCGGTCAAAGTCTATAGGAACTGTTACTGGGTCATTGTTGGTTATCGCCATCCAAGCTGGCTGAGGATGACGTAGGGAATTACTTTGCCTCGACACAAATGAAATGGCTCCATTTACACTATTTAGAGATAAATCCGGCCATTGAGATAACCTAGGGTAAGATTCTTTGGGTTTCGAACTATTTCCCTTAAGTACCAAGAGATTGCGACCCTTGATTTCCTAAGAGATGATGCAGTGATTTTAAGGGCACTAACCGTGAAAATCTGACTCAAATCAATAATTATCTGTTTTTTCTTTTTAAAATAGAGGTCAAGAATGTTGTATACATGTTGTTGAATCCCGAAGCAGATCAGCGACCAACTCTTAAACAAGTTCTGCAGCATCCCTGGTTCTCAATGGAAGTCTAAACTCCTCTCTGTATTAAGGACCTTGTTTCTTGATTTCAAAATGTCTTTCGAATTTTGTTTTATTATGACCGATTATTTATACTCAGTTAAGGGGCCTTGTTAAATTGTAAAGTGTTGCTGAAAGTCTCTTACAAAAGCCTTGAAATGTTTTGTGGTAAATTGGAATACTTGAGAAGTAGATTTTCCGATAGAGTCTGGTAATGTACTACAATTAACTTAAAAGTCTCTGAAAGGGACCCTATGATAAACAGGAAAGAAAAAAGGAACATTATAATTTACGGTGAAATGAAGGACTTATAACTGAGTCCTAATGATGAAAAGTAAAATAGAGGGAAGGACCTCAATTTTTGTGAAAAGGACAGCCCATATTTGGGTCCTTATGATACGTGGTAAAATAGAGTCCCTCAAAGGGACCTTATCATCATGAGTAGATAGTGAGTCTATACTTGGGTCCTTTAAGATATACAGAAACTTTTAGAGCGAAATAGATAGTCTACAAAAGAGTCCTTATTTAGTGTAGCGAAATAAGGAATTTCTGGATCTTCGAAATAGCCGTAGAGGGAGTCTCTAACTGGGCTCCTATGATGTACAATAAAGTGGACAGTCTCCGTCACGGTCCTTGTGGCGCGATTCTCCGATAAACATGGCCTCACTTCGAAAGAAAATCTACATGTGGATAAAGATTTTTCCCAAACGTTTTGCTGTAAATTTTAATCAAGGTGTAAATAAAATGTTGCTTTGCAAAAAGAGTGTACAAAACGCTATTAACTTGAGCCAGCTTCGATAAAACACCCAAGATTGCTACAAAATTAATTTGCTACTTTTTTATTATGTGAAGAAGAATTTTATTCCCGAAAAGCAGAAATGATCTTTAGATAATATGATGACAAAAGAGGAAAAACAATTCAACACAGTTGCTCCCGGCTTCCTCGAGCAAACATAGCTTCAGAATTGGTCTGATGAGAATGGTACTTTTTGTTTTGATTTCTGCTATGCAGACACGGTGATCCTGTCCATGGAAAGTCTTTACATCAAGACCAAGGAGCTATCATCTACTTGGGAATTTTTAACCATGACCAGGCTCAAATCTTCAATATTTAAATGGCACTTTTCGTGTGTCCAGTTGTGAGGTTATTGCAGTACGTGTACTCTCGTATGTATAGTCACTGTTGCAGTACATGTACTTTCGTACTTACTGTCGTTGTTGTAGTACATGCACTTTCGTAACAAGACTCTATACCGAGGCTTTCCATAAACTGCTGAAACACTCTCTCCCTGAATTGTGGACCATTGATGCCTCTAAGGGATAGAGGTAATCCACGGGTCATGAATGTTTTCTCTTCGTGAAGCGTACAACTTCCCCTTTTCTAGTATCTCCTGAAGTAGTCTACAACAGTCAAAACTGAAACTCTGATGGTAATGGTCCTGCAAATTTTATGGCCAAATCTTGCCTTGGTCCTCCTGACAATGGGGTTAGTTGATCGGCTCCAGTTTTGCTGGAGTGTTAACGACTCCTAGGTGTCCTTCATGGGCAAGCGCTGATATGTTTAGTCTTAATTTACTTGGAATTACAATCCTGGTGCCTCGAAGGATTAATTTCCCACTAACACACAGTTCACTACATATTGAAATATACTGCTTGTACTGGTCACCTTTCCAGTTCCCATTCTCTTTGCATTGCTGCAACTCAAAAACTTTTTTTTAGAAAAAATAAAGAAACATTTACAAGACACCGAGTGTGACAGTCACAATGGAAGGGACACAGACAGTGAAAACAACAATAACAGATACAGTAACAGTGACAGAGTCAGAGACAAAGATAGAGACAATGATAGTGACAGGGTCAGTGTCAGCCAAAGTGACAGTGACTATGACCATGAAAGTGACAGTGACAGCGGTTGTGAAAGTGACAGAGACAGAGCCAAAGAAAGATACAGACGCATAGACAGTAAAAGTGGCAGTGACAGCAGTACCATGACAGTGAGAGTTACATCGACAGCAGAGACTGTTAATGTCAGGGACAGTACAGCGTGACAGAAAAAGAGGAAATAAAATGCTGGTGACACTGGCTGTGACAGTGAAGGTGGTAGTTATGACAAAGTCACAGTACAATTGAGGGGGATGGTGACAGAGATAGTGACAATGAAGTGACATTGAAAGGGAAAGACACATTGATTTAACAGTAACAGACACTGAGAGACAAAGACAGAGAAAAACCCTTACAGTGACAGTGACATTAACAGTGATAATGACAGTGACACTGATAATGCTAAAGACACTGACAGTGACAGACACTCTAAGTAACAATTAGACTAATCAGTGACAATTAGAGCGACAAAGACAATGATGGTGACAGTAACACTAACAGTTGCAAAGGAAGTCACAGTGACAATGACAACGACTGTCACAAAGACAGCGACAGTGTAAATTTTAATGTTAACCTTCATTTATTAGCGTTATTCATTATGTCGCACCACCCTTCGCATAGGTATCTCCTCGACTCCAGTTTTGTAAGGTCTTTTAAGTGGGTATCTGATCCTGTTTTTATGTGACAGCTTCAGGTGTGTTGCACGATACTACATAATTCACATATCGTTTTACTTCCTAGTTCTTCCTGGTGCGAAGGTTTACCCAGCGATCTTACGTTGCCGACGAGGGGGCGACGGCGGGGCCACAAACGCAGTTGAATTAACCCCAATCTTAACTGCTCTCCAGGTCGCCGTTGCCGCGAAAACGTCTGTATCTTAAGCTCCTTAATGACAGAGATTGGGACGGTGAATAGAGAAAGTTATCTTGACATTGCAGTGACATTGACAGAGACAATGAGAGTAACATCGGCAGTACACAGATACAGTGACAGAGACAGTCACAACGTCATTATAGTGAAGGTGAGAACAACAGTGACAGTAAGAGTAAATATGACAGACACTGACGATGACAATGACAAAGAAACTTTCAGAAAAAGTGACAGTGACAGAAACAGAAACTCTAAGAATAAATCGACAGTGAAACTGACAACGTGAAAAAGACATAACTGAACAGTCACAACTGATAGACAATAACTGTGATAGACACAAGGACAGTGTGAGTGACAGTGATTACTGTACAAATTAGTGAAGGATCGTGACTGAGATAGAGACAGAGACACGGACATTTATCATGAAGTGAAAGTTAAATTGACAGTGATAGTGACAGTGAAAAAGATAGAGACAGAGGCGGTGATTGTGACAGACGAAGTGACAGTGATAGTGACAGTGAAAAAGAGTGTGACAGTTACAAGGAAAATAACAGCGAGAGAAGCATTAACAGGGTCAGAAAGTGACAAGGAGAGAATCAAATGGACGGTGAGTCAAATACACACAGCGATAGTGACAGTGGCATTAACAGTGATAGAAAGAGTGATCAAGGTAATGAAAGTGACAGGGTCAGTGAAAGTGAGAGAACGACAATGATAGCCACAGTGATGGTGACAAAGACAGTAACAGTGACAGTAACGGAAACAGAATTAACAGTGTCTTAAAGAATAAGACTGACAATGATATTGATAGGGACACTAAAGTGAAAGTGGGACGTACACTTGGGTGATATTGAGAGTAACAGTAACAAAGACATTGTCAGACAATGACAAACAGGTAGAATGAGAGTTTGAGACAATAACACTGAGAGCGACTGTGGCAATAAAGTTATAGCGACAGTGATTAGGAGAATGACAATGAAAGTGACAGTGAAATAGGGAGTGGACTGACTGTAACAATTGACAAAGACAGGGGTAATGATGGTGACAATGATATAGACAGTGAAAGTGACAGCGACTTTAACTGAGATGATGAAAATCAGTTTGGAGAGAAACACAGTTCAAGTGAAAGAGAAATTGATGGTAGAAGTGCTATTGACATATTGACAGAGAGAGAGAGGCAGAAGCGGTGACTAAATTAGACTGACACTAACAATGACAGTGACACACACGATGACAATGAAGTGACAGACACATTCAGAGAGACTGAAAAATAAAAGCAGTAAAATGACTGAGAGAATGACAGTGACATTGCCAAATGAATATGGAAGCGACCTTTGGAGTAACGAACATTACTTAAGCAGTAGTGAAAATAAGACCTGAAAACACAGTGGCAGTGACAGTCGCACAGACATTAAAGTAGACAAGAATATTGACGGTGACAGAGACCGTAAGAGTGACCGAGAGAGTGACAGTGAGGGTGACAGTGACAGTGACAGTGACAGTGACAGATACAAAGATAAAACCCTGTGAAAGGTACAGACACCCTAACAATCAGGTGACAGTGTCACTGATGGTGACACTCACAGTCACACCGACAGCGGAGACAAGAAATTTAAGAGTGACAGAAACACTGAGAGAGTAGTGACAATGACAGTAACATTTACAGTGATAAAGACAGCAATAGTTCGACTAACAGACACAGAGACAGAAACATTAACAGTGTTAGTGAAAATGACATCGAGAGTGTTTGTGACAGAGAAGGAGAGCAGGACAGTGATGGCGATATTGCTGTAATTAGAAACAGAAGACAAATTAGAGAGTGAGACAGAGACAATGGGAGAGACACTAAGAGTGACAGTGACAGAAGTGACAGTGTCACTAACAATATAGCGACAGTGACTATGACTTTGATGGGACAGTTACAGGGACAGGGAAAGGGAAAGTGACAGTGATAGTGGCAATGACCTTGACAATGACAATAAGAGTATCAGTGATTAAAGTGATAGTAGTATTGATAGTGACAGAGACAGTGACAGTGTGGTTTGCAAAGAAAGAGACAGAGACAGAGACAGATATAATGACAGTGAAGTGAAAGTGACAGTGACAGCAACAGAGTCAGAGGCAGAGACGGTGACAGAGACTGTAAATAGACACTGATCGGGAGGGAGGCAATTATAGAGACAGAGGTTAGTATATGTAATCACATGAGGCCAAGTACTATTAAGGATTAATTGCACGAGAGTTTTCAAAATTTTCCAAAATT